AGATGCCAGAATTCAACATGATCCATACCTTGAGTATCTCACAAAACGATATTGACTTCGTCACAATTAACAAGTCTGGAGAATGGCTGGCATTTGGAGCCTCAAAGCTTGGGCAACTTCTAGTTTGGGAGTGGCAATCAGAATCATATATCTTGAAGCAACAAGGCCATTTCGATTCAATGAATTCTTTAGTTTACTCTCCAGATGGACAAAAGATTATTACCACTGCAGACGACGGAAAGATAAAAGTCTGGGATGTGAATACTGGTTTCTGTATAGTCACTTTTACAGAACATACCAGTGGAGTTACGGCCTGCGAATTTGCGAAGAGAGGAAATGTTCTTTTCACATCAAGTCTTGACGGTTCGATAAGAGCATGGGACCTGATAAGATATCGAAATTTCCGTACTTTTACAGCGCCCACCAGACTTTCATTCTCATCCTTAGCAGTCGATCCCAGTGGCGAAGTCGTTTGCGCGGGATCTTTAGATTCTTTTGATATCCATATTTGGTCTGTACAGACTGGCCAATTACTAGACAGATTATCAGGCCACGAAGGGCCTGTATCATCACTGGCTTTCGCGCCAAATGGAGGTGTAGTAGTAAGTGGAAGTTGGGATCACACAGTCAGAATCTGGTCCATTTTTGACCGGACACAAACGAGCGAACCGCTTCAACTTCAAGCGGATGTATTAGACGTCGCATTCCGTCCCGATTCGCTACAGCTTGCTGTCTCAACCCTGGATGGACAGCTGACATTCTGGTCTGTTTCAGAAGCTGAACAGCAATCAGGTGTTGATGGCCGAAGGGACGTTTCGGGTGGTCGAAAAATAACCGATCGAAGAACTGCCGCCAATGCTGCGGGCAACAAAAGCTTCGGCTCCCTTAGATATAGCGCAGATGGATCCTGTGTTCTTGCAGGTGGTAACAGCAAGTACATCTGTTTGTATTCAGTAGACTCCCTGGTCTTGTTGAAGCGATTCACCGTCAGCGTCAACTTATCCCTGTCCGGAACGCAAGAATTCCTCAACAGCAAACTTTTGACCGAGGGTGGACCAGCCGGTCTTATCGATGAACAAGGCGAAGCCTCCGACCTCGAAGACCGCATCGATCGAACTCTCCCCGGATCAACCCGCGGTGGAGATCCTTCCGCCCGCAAAAGACTCCCCGAAGTCCGCGTTGCCGGCGTGGCTTTCTCTCCAACAGGGAGATCCTTCTGCGCAGCCTCAACAGAAGGTCTCCTCATCTACAGTCTCGACACCATGCCCCTCTTCGACCCCATCGATCTCGATCTCGCCGTCACCCCCTCCTCCACCCTCCACGTCCTCAACATCGAAAAAGATTACCTCAAAGCCCTCGTCATGGCATTCCGTCTCAACGAAGCTCCGCTCCTCCGTCAAGTCTTCGAAGCTATCCCACACCCCAACATCGCCCTCGTAGTCGCTGAATTACCAGTCGTTTATATTCCTCGTCTGTTACGTTTCGTAGCTATGCAAACAGAGGAATCCCCCCATCTCGAATTCTGTCTTCTCTGGGTCCAAGCAATACTCGTTTCCCACGGTCAGTGGGTGGGCGATAATAGAATCCTTGTAGATTCAGAGCTGAGGATTGTGGGGAGAGCAGTTGGCAGGATTAGAGATGATTTGAGGAGGTTGGCGGATGAAAATGTCTACATGATTGATTATCTACTTAACCAACCGATTGAAAAGGGAATCGAGGGTGCAGATGCAGGGGAGAAGGATGTACTGGTCAAAGATGTGGATATTAATGATGATGATGATGAGGCGGAATGGATTGGTCTAGATTAGGTTGTATCATATTATATGGAAGGATAAAAAATTTAAGCTGGTTTTTGTACTCTTTCTCGTTTCTGAATACTTTGTGGTGTGTGTTATCGTTGTCGTTGTTGTTGTCAACCCCCGGTTTTGAATATCACGGTCTCATCAAATTCTCTGATGCATGTAGATTTACATCTTCGTCAAGTTACACGCCACTGTCCAGGGCAAATCCTTCTCCCTCAGAATAAAAAGGTGGTATCAAGATATCATCAACGCTTTTTCTCTTCGCTCACTTTCTCGTTGCACGGGAACTTTCATATCGTGTAAACTCATAATGACATTCATTGTATTTGATATTCCGTAAGCATAAATACGTAGAGGTATATGTATATCTATCAAAAAGTGTAGGCGGGTATCATCCAACGCGTATACCAAAAATGATCTGCGAAGCAGATAGGGGTTTTCAGAATGCGGGATGTTGTATAGAGGTATCCAATGCATCCGCTATGCTATAATCAAAATGCCTGCCTGCCCATATCTAAAATAAAAATGCCATGTAGGCAAAGGGTATCCTATACTCATACTCATTGCAATTAATTTATTGCAGAGAGGCGACTGATCGTAGCTTCATGAACAAGGAGAGATATGCAAATATTCGCTTCGTCGGCAGATATTCGCATGCAAGGCGCCACACTAAACTGTACCCAAGCGATGACGCTCCCAAACACCAAGCTCGACACTCTCATTGCCTTTCTCTAACCCAGCGATTTTCTCCAATAAACGCCAATCACATGTCTCTATCCAATCACGTTTACCATTTGATCTCGTGAGCTGAAGGGCGCCAATTTGCTTCATGAACGCGATTGTTTGATTTATTCTGCCGTGTTCAACGAGGGCAATCTTGCGGACTCTTTTTCCGGTTTTGGGACAGCGTTTTGGGAGGACTGTACGGGTCAGGGGAAGTAAGGAGGTGATGTAGGTTGCGCCGTGGGATTGGAGGAGATCGATTAGCCAGAGGTGGGAGGAGATGCAGGGAGACAGTATGAATATTGCGTTATGGAAAGCACAGTTTGTTGTTTGCTTACATTGGCCAGTGCCGGTAAAGATAGTTTTGGTAAGAGGATCAGGAGACTTTGATTTTTGTAGAGACCTTAATTGCTCTAGAGACAGCCGACGAGATCTATGGGTAAGCCTAGTCGGTGTCTTTTGAGGAACCTCGATATTTTCCGAGCCTATTGGCGGAATGTGTTGTGGTAGTGACTGCATAACATTTAGGGAAGACTTGGTAGAATCAGACAAAACGAGAGGCCTTGATCGTCTTGTTGGTGGAGGCGAAATCAGTTGTGGGGGCTTGGTTGGTCGCGCGACCGATGGAAGTGCTATAGTTTGGGTGCCTTGATCTTTGGTAAAGGACCGTCTTGGTTGAATGACACTAGGCATAATGATTCCTGTCTCACCCCGCCTTCGAATAGGTACCAAATTTTTGACATCAAACTTAGCCTTTACCTCCAGATTCCGAGGAAAACTCGTGTGAACTGCTGTGACTAAAATATCAACTGGAACCTGGAACCCGAAGTCTTTATGAATGATACGAGTGAGCCATTTTCCTTGGGAGCTTTGAAGTCTCGAGTATATCTGTCCAAGGCGGTCCCAGGTGTCTCTGTCATTGGGATCTGCAAGAGACTTTATAGTAGCTGAGGACCCTTCGTTTTGAGCAGCAATGGTAATTAGGGTATCCTCGACCTCTTGCACAGTGACTTTCATGTGTTCAAACACTGTCTCCTATGAAAGCGTTTTAGTAAAGTTGCCATGTAAGTGTGTACATCACATGAAGAAGCCCCTGATTATACTTTACTCAAGCGAAACGCGGGTTCATTCATGGGTAATTCCAAGAGAATAGTTTCCCTCCTGAACTAATATACTGACCTGATTCGTATCCCGACCTATATACTTCATGATACATTGTACACGATAGCCTATATCATTCCTGACTAAATCATCGCGACCAGCCTTGGGATTCCATACAGGCATCAATGTCCCATCTCCCTCTTCGAGCTTTTTGAATGTGGCACGTTGTTCGACAGTCATATAAAAATACCTAGCAAGGAAGCGCTCGAAGGCTACTTTGTGGACATCGTAGTCTCGATCATCCAGGACCTCTGGTTTGAGGGTAAATAAAACCGAAGGGTCGTCTTTATACATAGCATCCAAGGTATCGCGATGGAGTTTGAACCAACGAATCCAAGCATCACTCACCTTCTCCTTCAGAATTTTGGGAAGTAATGGCGGAAATCTGCAGATCAAGCCCTCGAGTTCATCTAGCAGTTTACATATTTTGTAGAATGGAAAGGTTTTCATTGTAAGAAAGGATGTTAAGCATAAGCAGGGGGGATAAGATGTGCTGTGCTGATGAGTAAGAAAATGAATAAGATGAACAGCAGGATGGATATGTGAAAATGTTCATATTTTGTAAGAGAGTATGTATGATTGCAGTTGTAGAAAAATGGATGTGTAGTGATATCTCTTTGTTGTCACAGTAGTTCAAGTCGCGAGGAAACTTTGCTGTAGCAGAAAGTACACTACGATAGACACTAGAAAGACTAGGAGACACGAAAACAGCTCGAAATCTCGTGACCTTGATGTTTTCAGTCGGAGTTTATAAGTTCCGACTTGCTGCTTTGATCTCGAATTTCCCCTTTCTCTTGAAAAGGGCTAGACTGTCTTATTATAACTTGTCTAAATTCCATGGAGAGTTCATCCCATTTGTTTGTTTCTTCATTCTTCATCCACTCTCTCAATGCCATCTACACAAAACTTCAGGGTTGTTCCAAACCCATCCAACCCCAGAATTTACGGGGATATTCGTCACTTGAACCAGCTAGGGAGTCTCGAGGGAGTCAGTCTTCTGTACATAATTCCAATGTCTTGTCTTGAGTTTGGACAACTAATAAGTACCTACCTAGGCAACCCAAGGATCAGCTAACATGATACTGTAATAATCAATAGTAAATAATAAATAATAATAATAATAATAATATTAATAACAACAATAACAATCTCAATTCAAATAGACAAACCTAGAACAATTTTGACAAATACTAGGTACCTACTGAGTTACTCTACTCAAGATTGGAGTAAGACAGAAACGTTCAAGTCTTTCCTGTCCTACACTTCACTTCACTTCCCTTGGCTTGACTTCACTCACAACACAACTCATCTTTCTGTGTTCAAAAACAAGTTTCCTTCTTGGAATGATTGCATCTCCTACCACTTCTCTTGTATGATGTTTATGATGTCCAAAATCTAAAAATATCGACCATCCAATCTTTGATTCCTTTATTCGTCTCCATCTCTGTCTTCTCTTGTTCGCTTTCATACTCCTTTTTGGTTATTTGTTGACATATCGGCTCCCCTACTGACCAAATGCATAACGATTAGTCGATTACGATAACACAAACATAAACACAAGAATTTCTTCAACATTGAATGCTTATATTCAAAATTACTTTCATTCCACTATTCTGTGATCATTATATATACTTATCCTCTCCAATATGCACAATGGATTCATTCCACCATCGAACAACCTCAATTGATCGTGCTTCTGTTGAATCAATTCTAACAGGGGCCGATCAACCTACTGATGTACCAAGTCCCCATATTGGTACTTCACCCAATAGAGTAAACTTCTCTACAAACCACCCACCTCGACCCATTGTACGACCAGATCGTGCACTATCTTATACTTCAAGAAGACCAAATCGACTTTCGCTAACTTTCCCCGTTGCTCCAAGCAACGGCCTCGAATCAGTCAGAGCTACTCCTACTTCATCAAATGCTCCATCAGTTCCCGGCACACCTGCAGATCCCAACGTTATCCTATCGCCAAATGATTCAAACGGGTTTCTAGTCGCCCTAGCTAGTCAGGAAAGGAGGGTCCTCGAACTTAAGGAGGAGCTGGACAAAGCCGAAAATGAGCTCAAGCAGTTGAAAAAACAATGGGCGCTTCATGAAGCAACAAAGAAGAGAGCAGAAATTCGCCATGTCGAGAAGCTTCAACCTGTGCAAACTGAGCGCGGGTCTGCTGACGAGAACGCACTTAAGACTCCAAGGCAAAGCATAGATATGGATCGAAAGAAAGCTTTTCTTGCCAATCTTCCTCACCTACCAAAAGATCAGAAGAATCCACGAAGGAAAATCATTACTGGTGGTCATACTCGTACACTTTCGCTCCTTTCCCCAGAAAGAATGACGCACAATTCTACACTTCCAGAATCCACCGGAACAACCTCAGTCGACCTCCCAAGAAGCACAACTATGCCGGATACAAGTATTGGTATCTCCAGGGTCAACACAAATCGAGCAAATAGACATTCATACCAAGGAGGACTAGGAGTGACACATGGAGTGAAACAGATTACAGAAGATGTTAAAGCTGGACTATGGACTTTCCTTGAGGATCTTCGACAAGCTACAGTAGGGGACGAAGCGGTCAATGGCACAGCGAACAAACGATCAAGCTTGGATGCAACACAACGCGGACTAAATAAGCGAATTAGTAAGGGTAGTTTACGAGGACGACGAGGGAAATCACCAAGACCAGATCCATCATCACAAAGAACATGGGATTCCTTAACCGGTGATAATCCTGCTCTGCTAGATTTGGGAGGCGCATTATGGCAAGACCCTGAAACTCTGGCGGCACCCATGAAACCCACAAACGTTCAAAAGAAACGCGCAAGACCAATTTCATTTCCTACTGCTACCATCGACGATGACGATTGGTCAAATTGGGATTCTCCAGCTCCTAAATCGCCCATGAGATGGAGCGGTAGTTCTACATTGTCCGGTCCAGTGACTCCTGGAAATGCAAGCGGCGAAGATGAAGTAAAGTGAGAATTTCATTCTGTTCCTGGCAAAAGAATATTTTCACTAACAATACAATCATAGCATTATGGACTCGAACAACCCCCCAGACTCGCCCTCAAGAAGGGATGAAATCCCGTGGCCTGCTCTCGACCAATTGAAACCGGGCAATCTTAAGAAAACTGTATCTACAATGATGAATCAATGGGAGAAAAGCCTTACTCCACCTCCCGAAGAAGCCACGTCTGAAGATTTTCTTACCGGTTCTCCTCGTGTTCAAGTGGGACGAGAACGAGATGGATCCAATTTTGCCGAGACAAATTCTTAATGTGTGGAGGAGTTGGCTGGTATCTCATGATAATGTTTTCTGCGTATAATGTATGGAATGGAATGAAACGGCTGGATAGCACAATGTGGGATTGGTAGGAGATCTGGAGATAGATTGTTGCTTTCTATCCTTGGTATTTAGGCAGATCAGACAAGACTAGACCAGATGTCTGTGCTCTGATTGATGATAGATGATTTTGATGAAGGAATGAAATGATTTTGTTGCCTACTTGTTGTTGTAGTTTGTTGTTGCAGTATGGTGTTGCAGTATGGTGTTCAGGTAGCGAGGGTATGAATGTTCAATCATCAATTATATTAGATATCACCCACTTCCAAAGAATAGACTGTGCATTTGGATATTCAATTTCGTTTTGACATTCAAGTGTCGTGTGATCTATCGATCATCATATTGTAGTCTTACCATCTAGCATAGACTATCTACAATCCCCATCAATGCGGAAATATTCTAATTTCTATATCCTCAGAATCTAGCTCACATGACTTCTATGTAACCAACCAACAAGATTCTATTTCCCCCTTAAATCTTAGGACTCTCACCCAAAAAGCCCTCCGCAACCGCCTTAATTAACTGCGTCGCAATGGCCGTGACAGATGGTAACCTCAAATTTCCCTCCTTGTACCCCTCGCTAGCTGGTTCTCCCAACGGACTCGTTCCATTCAACAACGCTTCCCTAATCTCCTCCATCTCAAACCACTTCGCATCTTCCAATTCCGGATCATGCTCCAGATGAATTTTCTCACCATCCGGCAACGCTTGGGCAATGGCACCAATCATCAAGTTTGCAGGATAGGGCCAAGGTTGGGTACTATGAATGACGACACGACCGAGTTTCACGCCGGACTCCTCCCAGACTTCGCGACGCACGGCTTCCTCGACCGATTCGGCGGGCTCGCAGAACCCGGCCAGCGCGCTGTACCAGTATTGCGGCCAGCGCTTTTGACGGCCGAGAAGAATGCGTTTGCCGTCGTGGCTGACGACGGCCATGATGACGGTGGGGTCTGTGCGGGGAAAGCAGAGATTGGAAACGCCTTTGCGGGTTGCGCAGGAGGCTCTTTGGGTGGGGGTTGCGGGGTTGGTTCCTGCTTGGGCGGTGGGGAGAGAGGCGAAATCGGTGGGGGGACACACGCGTTTGGTGCCTGCGTTGATCTGGGATTTTGTTAGTTTTTTGGTGATATTCCAAGGTGGAGATTTTTCTCTTCTTTGCATCTCAAAGTAGTGTTCACTTACAGAAAGCGTAGGCTGTCCACACCCTCCGCAGAAAGGATTCCTAGCATTCCAATCCAGAAGTGCTCGTGCCTGGGCGAAAATTGCAGCCTCTTGTGCGTCCAGACTCATGAGCATCCTTCCCTCTTGGAACACCAATCCTTTTTCCTGCATGGCTTTCACCACGCTGTTTGCTTCGTTTTCGTATGTTCCTTTGGGGGTGACATCGATTGCAAAATAAGGAGTTCCGCTGTAAATGCCATGCTTAAACCCTTCTTTGTCTTTACTCCTTTCATCCAAGCCCAGGAATAAAACTAATGGTAACGTCTTGGAAGAATTAAACTCTTTGATCATCGTCTCCTCATCTTTCTCAAACGGGTTCTGTCCCGTCAATCCCGTGATATCGGAGTGAGAGGAATAGGCCAGGTGACTGGGATCTTTAGTCAGCGGAGCAAGATTATTGAGAAGGAGGAAGTTGGCGGCGGGATGGGTGAATGCGCTGGAGATGAAATCATGGTTTGCGCGGAGGAAGGAAACACGGTTGAGGGGCGAGCCGGAAAAGTAGTTGGCTACTTCGCGGCCGAATTTGCGGGTGAGCATGGAGTCGACGTCGGGATGAGCAGGGGATGGGAGAGAAGGTTCGGGCATGGTTTGGATGTTGTGGTTTGGATGGTGGGGAGAGGAGAGTGTTCTGAAGGGAGGGGGTTTATATATGATAATGTTAAGGAGTACCCGAGTAGAGAGAGAGAGAGAGAGAGAGAGAGAGAGAGAGATAGAGGGATCAAAGCTATAAAAGGAAATAGTGGGGTGGCTACTCTATCTTTTATCTAAATTCCGACCCTCGGGATTTCTAAGCCAACAAGCCAACACATTTCGATTTGATAGTCAGCCACTTATTATTATTAAATCGTTCATTCAATTTGTTTGTTACCATTGCCGGAGTCATCTTGAGAAGATTGGATTAGTACGAGGTATACATACAAACCGAGGGGTAGTAATCTAGATCAATAGCCGTGAGACTCTGTCTTACCATCGGAAACCCCTATGTTTCTTAAATTCTCCGACTCACATTACTCAAATACGACCTCTCAAATCTCCAAATGCGAGAAGAGTAATTGAATTGTTCAAATTCCATGCATGTCATGTACGATACTCGAGTACGGAGGTTGACGGTGTAAGTATTGTAAAACACACTAAAAAGCGACCGAGCTTTGCCCCATTTTTATCGTTTGGACCAATCATATCATCACGCTGATTGAAAATTTATATGGTGAACTCCAGGTGGTGAAAGTATTGTAAATTTATTCTATCCCTAGCAAAATCATTCAAATTTATCGAAATTCATATTTTTCTTTTTAGAAATACTATTCTGAGCCTATCTAAAACCTATTGAAAGCTTTCAAAGCTTTAAAAGCTTTCAAATTTTAAAAGTTGAAAATATGAATAAAAGGATTCAAAATTCGATATTTTGAGGGGGATGGCTGAATATCTAGTAAAATTAGTAAAAGCAGCATTGGAATTTCGTAAAACAGCAACTTTTATTAAAAATGGGGCTTACACGACTTACGCCTTCAACCTTCGTACTCGTAAATAAATAAATAATGACGTCTTTCCTCCTTCCCCCACCGAGCTCCGACCGGGAAGTATCCAATTGACAGCTACCCCAGTCCCAGACCAGACTAGACACCTCTAATCGGACAAGCGTCCGCATCACGTGATAAGCGTTAGTCATGTGAGCTACAAACTACCTACAAACCTTGCTTTGAACAAAGTATCTTTCACCGTAATTATTGTCTACTTTAGCAACATCTTCCAAACGCTCTCCAGACTTTTCACTTCATATCTCGCTCTTTTGCTGCGATTAGGACATCAGAATATCGCTCATTCGAGAAGTTGGCTCGAGTTGACGGGATTGCATTACTTTTCTGTGTCTTACCATTACTAGAGAGGTTTGGTAGACCGCCACATTTACATCAGATCATACTAGAGTTGGCTTAAGATATCGAGTCATAATTTTTTTCTTTGCTTTTTTTGATAGCAAAATTTGGAGAGAGAGAGAGATTTTTTTTTCAAAAGGCTTTCATTTTGGGATTGTTCATATTTGATATATTTATAATTCTTTTGAGATTGGGTCTATACGAAAATTCAAGATGATTCCTCCGACTCAGAATTTGAATTTGGATATTACTGCTATATCGGGGATATGTGGGTATGTGTCTATTGAGTTTTAGCTTGGGGATTTTGGATAAAGGAAAATACTGATGAGAATTAGTTCAATATCGATTGCTTGTTGGATAGTGGTCTTTAGTCCTCAGATTATTGAGAATTGGAGACGAGGTTCGGTGAGTACCTTCGATGAGATTCTGTTTGCAAGCCAATTGGGTTGTTGGAAGCAATTAAATGAGTGCAATGTGCTAATATCTAATAGGCTGATGGATTATCTCTACAATTCATCATTATATGGCTTGCTGGTGATGTTTTCAATATCTGGGGTGCTATGCTCCAAGGTGTTCTTCCTACGATGGTAAATATTGTCCAATGAGTTTCACGTGATATCGATGTTAACATCATTAGATTATCCTCGCCGTATACTATACCATAGCAGATATAGTTCTTCTAGGTCAATGTTTCTACTACAAGGGCTTCACCTGGCGCGACGAAGTTAAGCCACCACCATCCCCACCTAAGCCCACCTACGCAGCAATAGCAGCTAGCACGCCCAGTGAAACTACAGCGCTCATCAATGGCCTAGAGAGAAGACACAGCGGCACCTCTGTTTCAGCTCAACATCTCTCTCCCGTTGTTCCGCTTCTCGACCCTCCTTCTAACGATACGCCCATCACCAAGAAAGTCAAAACTTCCCCAATGCAAACCTTCCTCTTCAATTTCTTTAGCATCATTCTCGTCTGCATTGCCGGTGTTCTCGGCTGGTGGATATCCAACTCCTCTTCCGCCCAATCCCACAAAACACATGATAAACACTCATCTACTCACACCAGCCCATCCTTTTCCCCCTTGGGACAAACTTTCGGCTACCTCTGCGCCATCCTCTACCTAAGTTCTCGAGTCCCCCAACTTCTCCTCAACCATCGTCGTAAATCTACTCAGGGAATCTCAATGCTTTTCTTCCTATTCGCTTGTATTGGAAATCTCACATACGTCCTTTCCATCTTCGCTTACGAAGCCCCCTGTCTCACAGCCTCGAGACACGGACACTCAAAGTGCGAAAGTGGCGAAGCACGATCGGAATATCTTCGCTATATTGCTGTAAACGCGAGTTGGTTGGCAGGTAGCGCGGGTACCTTATTGTTGGATGCGGGTGTTTTTGTGCAATTCTTTTTGTACGGAGATGGAGAGGGAAAGATGGTGGAAGAGGAAGCGGCTGTTCAAGGGAACGGCGCGACGAATGGTGTTGTGGCTTAATAAGTCTTTAATCTGGGAGAGAAAATGTTGAGATGTAGTGAGAACTGAAATTGAGTCGGTATCGAAAGCTCGATGAAAGGGGATGAAGCGTGATGGTTGTGGAATATTTGTGTTACTACCTATGTACACTACACATGAGACGACGGTTTCTTACGAAGATTGAAAAAATGAAAGGATCTTGGATGCATGGGATGGAATGATTTTGCGTTTTAATTCTGGGCACAATAGCGTGTCAAAAAAGGGTGGCATTCTGGAAACTTGTATCATATCTAAAATTGCATCAAGATATAGATAAGATATCTCTCATGTTAGATCAAAGCTGTGAAGGTAATGTGATATATATATTTTTGTGATCTGTGGCAATTATCTATAGGACTGAAACATCAGGACTACTCAGGAGTTGTTTGTAAGGCGCATATGAGCAGATTGAGAGTAGACGAACAGAGCGTAATATCGACGTGAAAACCAGATCGTAATCGTCGAGATTTTCACACAAGGAGTAAATGTTACACCATGTGATGTGAGAGCATCCCACAAGATAGCACATGACATGAAGTGCAAATATCTGAATATGGAAAGAAGGAAGCAAACTCGCGAGATTGGATGTGTTCCATTGAGTAAGAGTTGGATCTTGAAGTGATAGGTGGTCAGTTAGAATTAGTTTATGGCTCATAGGGGATGAAAGATGAGAAGACCTGTTTGCTGGTCGATACCCGTGAGTATATTTCTCACCGTGATGAGGAAAGCGAAGCGTGTGCTGGGATGAAGACATGTGGGTGGTACTGCTTTGATACAAAGGGTAAGGCAATAGACGATAACTTACTTTTGTAATTGGTAAATCAAAAGCGAGAAATAACGTGTCGAGAAAACCAGAAACCCTCTCCGTCACGAAACGAAATTAATTTCCAAAATTTCCAAAATTTCCCCAAATGCTCTCGCAACTGGGTTCCATATTTCCTTTCTCGTTGACTAGCTTTGCTTCTCTGGCAATACTGGAGGATCATTTTTGGACACTCTCATTACACGGGGTTGCTCCCAATCTGCTCCCAACCAATTTATCAATTCCTCCTCCATGTACTCATTCGAAAATTTGTAGATGACGGATTGTAGGTTTTCGAAGTACGTAATGACTTCTTCGTGAATGTTTTGCGTCTTTATTATGATGTCGATGTAATCAAGTGTGCAGCCATTGACCATGCAATCTGTGAGAGGACGTACAAGAACAGTTTTGAGATCGTTATTCCATTTTAAGAAGGCCCTGTCAGCTCTACCTATTTCGCAGCACAGTATCAGTCACTGCGGGATTTGCATGGGCAAAGAGCTTACTCAGATATGCATTGATCCTTGGGTCGGTGGACAATTTATTTCTTTGAATACGCCAGAAGTCATTCCAATCTTTCGCAGACTTCGAGTGGTTACGCCGAATCCGAGGCTTCCAGGTCTGCGCGTCCAGTGTAGAGAGATTGAATCGAAAATATTGAAGTATATCGCTGAGAGCATGGTCTAGCAACAAAGGAGGCCCCTTGAGGATGACGTAACTCTTACCCCAAGGAGTGATTGATGAAAGAAGATTGTGCTTTGCGGCGACTTTGAGAAGCAACTTCCTGCTCTGTTGATACCTTTCACGAATCGCCATAAGAAGATCATTTGTTGTTAATGGGCAGCATTGGCTGACTGAAATGGACCCGCTGGGGTCTTCGTCCTGTTGTGGCTCAACGGTGTCAGCCAAAATAACCACTTTGCCATTTCTTCCCAACAAAGTGTAATTTCGAGGCTTGGGAGAGGCCATTTTGACATCGAAACCGCAATATTATGACCGATGATGAAACTGCCCAAGTCGTACTATATTTATGTTTATCGAGTTTTGAATCGCTTCGTTGGGAGTCGACGCCATCAAGTAATACTTTCTTGTGTTTACTTTTCCTGGCTTTGCTTTTTCTGCCTCAAATTTTGATATGCGTGCCTACCTGCCTACGCTGTGCCACTAGGCTGCTGAATAACATATAATATCAGACATAGGAAGCCTCATTAGCTGACAAAGTTTGTCCACAAAACTCCATATCGGAACTGCAGAAATGGCGAGTGTACCAGACCCAACTCTTGGCAACACATTTTCAATAAATGTGCCAAAGGAACCAGACGTCGGCATTGTTAAAGATGAGATGTCTGAAGCAGAGCGATTGTTTCATTATTCTTATGCAGCGCGTTCTGAGGAACCATGCTTTTTAGCGTTTCGTGGGCTGCAAATACTTAACATTACCCACCTCCAGCTGGAATTAGCAAAGAAAAAAGGTGCCATAAGGACAAACAACACAGCTTCTAACACCGATATTCAAGACCTAGCTTCAATCTTGCACCAGTATGGTAAGCTTCCAGCATTAATGATAGTGTCTCTGAGGTTTTAGTAACATGCATTTGAAGCCGATGCAATTCGAGATTATGCTTTCCTTTCAGGCCTTCAAAATATCGCTGGGTCTCAAGCACAAGAAAAGCGTCGGGATCTGACATATGCTTTTCCCGACATTGCCGGCTTACCGGGCGATCCATTTAATTCGGCTTACCGTCGTCTGCCAGATCAATCGTTGATTCCAGTCGACCCTCTAAGAAAGTGGCTCAAAGCGCGTCTGCCATGTCAACTGACATACACCAAGCGCGAGCAACTGCTTCGTACAGACGAGTATCTCAAAGGCGAGCCGCCAGAACAAGTTTCTCTCTTCGTCGATAAACTTGCACGATTTATAATCGCCTTCACAGGTGGACTGAGTCTTGTAGTCCCCATGCTCATTATGAGAATCGGGGAGAATTTGACGAAGAGTTTAGTGACGACGAGTATAGCTGTGGTATTGTTTGCTGGAATCACAAGTCTTGTTCTCCGTGCAAATAACATGGAGACCGTCGCAGCAACTGCAACATATGCAGCCGTGCTTGTGGTTTTTGTTGGGACAAGTGGGTGATAGATCGAGTTGGATATTTTTTGGACTATCGAAAATCAATTTGAGACATCGCTTTTGGTCGCGACTTCCGTTTGTGTACCGTCACGTGTGACATCTAACGATTACTCATCCGCCTCCTGACCTCCATCCGACATGCTCATTTCACACAATGAACCATCTTCTCCAGAGAACTCAACTCTATCAAATGTACATGATACCGCGCGCAAGTGCCGCGCATAGAGGTGGTACGACGTTTGGACGAGAATATTTAGTCTCAACATGACATCTCATGATTTTCTTTACCACTTTTCTGGATTGCAGATCTTCCTCTAGCCCCATCAAGGAAACGGGACTTCCCCAAAATCTTCAAGCAGAAATATCCTGATTCTAATACAAGCTTACTTGTTGCGCGGCACTAAGTTCTAGTTCGCGTTGAAGTTGCCTTTACAATGTGATTCCTGGCTTTTTGTGGTACGAGATAGGAGTTCGTATTTTTGACTCTATCCTAAAAATCATGCTTTGTCGCTTTTGATAGAACTCTATTCTAAATTGGTCTGGCCCGGATTCTATGATCGTCATCCCGCCTCGCCCGCATCATTCTGACTCCACCCCCACATGTATTCTAGCTTCCCTTTCTGTGGGAAGATCTCGGCATTTGGATTAGGCGCAAAATGGTCTTGGAATTTTACGATTCGAACGGTGCTATGGCGGTTCTTCAATCCTCTTGAGTATATATACTTTGTATTCCTTATTCCAGCAAGAACGGTTTCCGTTTTCACACACCACCTTGAAGTTCCTAGATACACAAATTCCAGTTCCTCGTCTCTTCTATATACTATTCATAATATAAATAATCAAAATGCCTACCGTCCACGCTAAAACCGATCCAGCGATCCTCTCCCAATTCGAAAAAGACATCAAAGACGTCCATCTCATTTACGACTACGCAGCTCAGGACGCGAACGGAAATCCCGAAAAATGGAAATATGAAATGTAACCCCCCTATGTCCATCCTGTCACCAAACTTCACTGACACCCCCAGGTACTTCGCCCACCCTACCCTTATAATCTACGCCATCCACGGGGGGCCCATGGCCGGTCGCGTCAACTACCAACGCTGTTCCTTCCAGTGCATCCGTCCCGGTGCTCTCTGGCAATGCAACTGGCTTGAAGAAACCGGAACAATATGTTCTCTCGTCTACGATATCCCGAATAAGAAAATCAGTACCTTACTTGCGTTTTCGCAAGGACATTGGGAAAATGCAAAGGAAGCACATGGAGATAAGCGAAACTCGGAGGATTTCGAACGGTGGAGAAAACTGGGAAAGATCGGAGGACCAACGGATAGATATATGTTGAATGAGCAGGCGGATATTCTGGAGGTCTTTAAGGGGAAGGGGGATTTGGAGTGGGTGGAGGAAGATGTGGAGACTATGTGAAGAGTTGAGCAGGTGCATATCTTCACTTTGATGGGTGTGAAAGTCAGAAACTAGTGTTGGTGTCTTGTTCGTTGAAATTATTTCAACGGCGATTTTGTGTGTGATTATAAACATTGTGAATACCTAGTATAGTCGGGACCACGATTTACATAGATAATGTCCAAAATTTGTAAGAACATCAGTGTAGAAAGCCCAGCAAAACATTTCAGATTATATCATTATTGGTTCATGTGTAATATTATTTTGTACATGGAAATGACCCGTAATCGTTCCTTCCCGTCAGACCAACGCCCCATCACCGTTTGTCCTCATGTCAATTCAACCAACCATTATGCGCCCATAAGAAATAAACCTCTAATCTGCAAGTTTTCTCTTTTGTCGCTCTCTCTCCATTTTCTTGAAGAAGGCAGAACTCTCTCCTTTGTTCTTCTTCAGATCCTTATTTCTGCTCCTATTTTGCTCAACATATGCCATATCCTGCCCACCAGCCAAATCTGCGAGTTTGCCCGCAGTTCTTCTAACATTCGACTTCTTTTTCGGTCTGGGTTTGCCGTCGTTTCGATGGAACAAATCGTCTCTAAGATCTTCCTGGAACTTCTCCTCGTCCATGTTGTGAAGCATGACGTTTTGTAAAAGCTCTCTTCGGTCCTGGGGCGTGTTGAATGCAAGACCAGGGAGATCTTCAATACCCTGGAGATGAGTAATGGCTTTGAATGCATAACCTTGGTCGACAAGGAATGCTTGACGTTTTGAAGAATAATACATCTCTTTGGTATCTTTGGAAACTAAAGAATAGAAGAATGCATTGAAACCTTCATCGTTTCTACGTTTTGCTCTAAGAATTCTGCCCAATCTTTGTGCTTCCTGTCGACGGGAACCAAAATGAGACGAAATTTGGATAAGACATGTTGCTTCAGGTAAATCGAGAGAAGTGTCACCAATCTTCGAAAGAAAGAGTGTATTGATATTGGGATTGTGTTGGAAGTTCTCCAGAATTCGAAGACGTTCGGTTTGAACCGTACCACCATAGATGAAAACTTTCCCTAACTTTTGAGCGTAGACGTGCAAGGCGTAAACATTGTCAGAAAACACAATAATCTTATCGCCACGCTTCTCATGATAGTCTATCAAGAACTGACACGCCTGGAACTTCCGGGGATTCATTGTAGATATCAAGCCCTGCTTGCGACTAGGTGCTTTCAGATACTCCGAGTGAAACTCAGTAGTCATTGGGCACCAGACTTCGGCACATTGAACTCTAGCAATGTGACCTTGAGCTGCGAGTTCCATCCAGTTGGCTTCATACAATTTGGGACCGATCAAGAAGTTCAAATCTTCAATTTTATCATCCTCACGAAGTAAAGTAGCCGTCAAACCTAGTTTCGAATGAGTTTTGATTGATGATGTGACTTTTCTGAAAATTTGAGCAGGGACAACGTGGACCTCATCTAGAAGCATCAGGCCCCATTCTCTGCTCGTCAAGAAATCCATCATCTTTTGGGCGTCGAAAGCTCGCGCACGTGTCTGCGTGACCATAGAATAAGTTGTGACAATGATACCGGTACTCCTTGTGAATTTCTCTTTGTGGTCCGAAGTAAATACCGCAATATCAGCTGGATTGATGTTGGACCATTTCAAGAATTCCTGTCGCCATTGAACAACTGACATAGAACTTGTGCAGAGGACAATGACACCCTTCTTGATTGTGCAAGCCGCGGTGATGCCAACTAAGGTTTTTCCAGCTCCACAAGGCAACACAATAATACCACTCTTAGCTCGACCGTTACCAAACATTTTACTCAAGCTTTTCTCCTGGTAATGTCGAATTTGGGCACTAGGCCTCAAATCAATCTCGAGATTTGGATTGACTTCGTCATTGCGGAAATCGTATTCTTCGAGTACAGGCAGTGCGAGGTCTAGGCATCGTTTTTGTACCGCTTCTACGCAGTTATCAGCGATCTCAAACGAATGAACTGCCTCTTCTTCGTCATCATCATCGTCCTCTTCATTAAGCTTTGCATAAATATCATCCTGCGTAGGTTCTTGTCCTGCTTGCTGTCTATCTGTTACACTCTGGCGTCTATCTCCAGTTTGCTGAACTCCAGCTGCATTCTTCGTTCCTGGGATAACCAAGGCACCCATACTAGGTGCTATAGTTGTAGTTGTGGACCCTTGAACCCTGAGCGGACCAATTATAGGATCCGACAGAAGACGTTGTAGCAAGTCAGGATCTGAAGTTTCGACATAATGTTTTGTGTTCTTAAGGACCAGCTTGACTTTACCATAACTCTGAGAACAATTGATGATGAACTTTTTAACATTCTCAGGTATAGGTATCTTTGAAAGGCGGTCAAGAACATTGACAATATCCTTTGGATCCAAGCCAACTGATACAGCGGCATATAGACTATGAGGTGTTAAAGCATATTCGTGTAAAAAGCTAGGTCTCGACTTTGGCTCTGCTATTGTGGTCAGGAAATCTTGAGCATGCGCTGCTAGTGGAGAGAAACTTTCTAGGATAATGCGCGCCTTCTCAGGATCTATCCATAAAGGGCGATTTGCGTGATCAGGCTTTAGTGATAGGTATGAAAAATCGTTATTGCCAAAGTGGTGACTAGCAGAGTCCCTAACTAATTTGGAATCCGATCTTGGCCGGTAACTCTCTGCTGAGAATTTATTTATGGTCTTTGCAATACTGGCCTTCTCTTCCTCTGTAGCTTCTAGACCTTGACGTTCAAGTTCGTCTACGGTACCATCTTGATAGTCATCATCACTATCACCACTGCTCATATTACTACGAGGGGTTGCAGGTCCTGGTGTAGAGACAGCAGAGTCTTTGTTCGATTTGGTAGAGCCTCTCACACCTGGGAGTTGTTAGTCATTACAGATTCATATTAAAGCAAGTATACAGCCTCATACTTGATGTGGCTTTCCTTTTTGGAGGCATCTCGAAGTTCCTTCAAATAATTATATCTTGTGGGTTGTTTGATTTATTTGGAGGGACTCGAGAAACAATGATCTAGGTTTCCCTTTTAATGTCGGTGGGAGAACTAAGAGGCGTAAGGCTGAGTTACTGATTAATAAGCTTGGCACGCTAAAATTATTTGGTTCAGCCTGGGATTCACTGTTTTGGAACCATTTTTCTGGATCGCATGTGAAGCCGTAATTGGAGTTGGCCGATAGATATCAACGACGTCCTCCAGCAGAAGATCGTTGACCAAACAATACACTCAAATACGTCAAATCACCATACCCATATCATGTGGTAAGATGTGATTATTCTCAGAATCATTCAGCAATCTAACAAAAATCTAGTAAACATATTCTCAACGCGCAAGTTTCCATTCGGTCGCCATGCTGTAGGAACAACCTTCTAAGATAGTTTTCCCATACTAAACTCCAACCAAAGGTCGAAAATGGTTTGACTGTGCCGAATGTCACCAGGAAACTGAATCACATCCTCTCAAGAAAACCACAGAAATGGTATTACTTGCTCCCACACCCCGCTTTCCTCGACCCGTCATACTAACTGCAGTGTGAAGACTTTCGCATGCAAAAAATGCAAAAAGGCATTCAGAAAGGATTTTGCCGATGAGACAGATGACGGAGATGAATACTGCCCGCACTGCGATAATCATTATGTCATCGATGCAATCGAGCCAAAGCCAATGCTGAAATTCGAAGGCGAGGATGTCAGGAAGGATAGTAGAATGATTAAGGATGATCGACTGCAAGGGAAGCAACAGAGAACGATTTTTGATGTGGAGGAGGCTCCAAACAAGTTGGGATAATACGAGACGTCATGAACATGGAAAGTAAAAAGGGGTCTGAATTTAGCGGCATAGGCATGGGAACTTGGGATGTAGAGCGAATGATTAATAAGAAGCTGATAAGCATATATCACGGAAGTGATACTGTTATGGCACTTGGTACCCAATATGAACTTGAGATGCATCAGAAGCATCAAAGCTGTGTCATTTCGTCGCTCATTGCTATATTACAGAGGCTCTATGAAGTGCAGAAAGTCATAAATATCAATCCACTTATTGGGCAGCAGCATCATCAGGTCCTCTCGCCAAGATTGAAGTGGTGCCTCCCGATCGACCACCCTTCTTCTTAGCAGCTTCCTCGGATTTCTCTTGCTCGATATCCTTCACATATTTCTCAATATCCTCCACTGGCAACATCTCAATGAGCTTGCCTGGTGCCATGATAGCAATCTCAATATTCTTCGCTCCGGTTTGGACAACTTCCAGTAAAGACTTGATTGTCAATTTGATGGTAGCTTCCCTATCCATATCATCCTTGTGGTTTCTCTCTAGGAATTCTCGTACAGTCTTGCTTGATCTACCGATAGCATTGGCTTTCCTAGATGCTTGTTAAAATATGTAAAATCCATAGAATAAAATCAACATACCATGCGGAGTAGATTCCAGATGGCTCTGTTTGGTATAATCTTGGAGTCTGATCATTGGGGTCGAATCCAACAATCAAAGTACTAATACCAAACGGTCTAACACCACCACTTTGTGTATATCTTTGTTGCACACCAGCCACATACTTCGTGATGTACTCTATTGTGACTGGATCCTCCACTGTAAGACGATGCGATTGTGCTTCTAATCTTGCCTTGTCGACCAAGATTCTTGCATCGGCATTGAGACCTGCAAAAGCTAGGCAAACGTGGGTATCGACGAGACCAATTTTTGATGGCGTAATACGGGTATCTTGTAACTTCATTGCGGAACGCTTCTCACATCCTAGAACGACAATATCCTTGCCCTTTACTCCAACGGCGCATGTTCCTAGATTTCCGTATAAGCTGTTGTCCACTGATTGCTTATAGCTATTTTAAGTACCTCTCTTGACGGCTTCGAGAGCATATTCGACTTGGAAGACATGACCATCCGGACTATGACAGCTGTTAGGTTGATTTTTAAATACAAATCGATTCGTAAACTAACCTGAACACTATTATATGTTAGCTACCTTTATTAATATATCTACCCAATGGAAATAGCTTACCAGACAACGCTCTATCATATCCTGAAGCCATAATTTATGATAATCTGAACCGTAAAGTGAAATTAAATGGAGTTATTGGGTATTTTGAAAAGGATCGAAGCTTAATGGGAAATGCGGGAAATATTGATGAAGCTTGATGTTTGAACTGCAGGCAGCTCAGCATACGAAGCTACGCGACAGGAAGGTCTAACGGACATGAGCCTGGCTCCACAATCCTCAGGCATTAACTCAACAAGGCTGTAAATATGCGGGATGTCCGCTAAGGTAGCGCACGAGCTATGTCAGTGCAAGGCAGAATCACAGCCTTTCGAAATTTAGCTGAAACGCCCCGAGCCATTGCGAATCGGATTCTTTTCCAAAATTCCCAAGACAATTTTTTCCAATATCCTGACACTTTCAAGATTCTAAATTTGTCAGAAAAAATATACTTTTCTTGAAAGCCCCAAAGTTGAAGGTTCACTCAGACGTGCAACAAAACTTTTGGAAGAGATAGACTAATAAGCCTGGATAAAGCTCGCCATTGTGACCCCACTCTTAATTTCTTCCCCTCAAGAATTTGGGAAGCCTTCTTCAATTTGGACATCACAAACATGGCAGTTCGATCACGTATTGCTCTCGCGGCCCGCAGAGCTAGGGTATCGCCGGCGTCATCCTCATGCTCGAAAATAAGACCATTACGACCATTGACTCAAACTCGATGGCAAAGTACCGCTAGTACGGAAGACACTGAAGGAATAGCCAAAGGAACAACTGGCACATCGAAGACCATAAAATTCACATCCGAAACATACCCTGATATAAAGCGAGACTCGAGGTTTGCACAAATTACTGAGGAGAATGTGAAATTTTTCAAGGATTTACTGGGGAAGGAATCTGCGATTATTGATGGAGTTACAAAAGATGCAACAGATGATCTTGAACCTTTCAATGGAGATTGGATGCGCAAGTATAGAGGACATACAAGTTTGGTTTTGAAGCCTGGATCCACCGAGGAAGTGAGCAAGATTTTGAAATACTGCAATGATAATATGTTAGCAGTTGTGCCACAGGGTGGAAACACTGGACTTGTCGGTGGTTCCGTTCCTGTATTCGATGAAATTGTTATCAACATGAGTCGAATGAACCAAATTCGATCGTTTGATGAGGTTTCAGGTACCCTTGTTGTGGATGCTGGTGTTGTTTTGGAAGTTGCGGACAATTATTTGGCAGAGCGCAAACATATCTTCCCATTGGATCTCGGCGCAAAAGGATCATGTCATATTGGAGGTAATGTAGCAACAAATGCTGGAGGTTTGAGGCTGTTGCGATATGGAAGTTTACACGGAAATGTTCTCGGAATCGAGGCAGTTCTACCAGATGGAACAATTGTGGATGATCTCTCTAAATTGCGAAAAAACAATACTGGTTATGACTTGAAACAATTGTTCATCGGTGGTGAAGGTACGATCGGTATAATCACTGGAATCTCAATCATTTGTCCTCAGCGATCAAACGCCATCAATGTCGCATTCTTCGGCCTCGAATCTTTCGAAAAGGTCCAAGAAGCTTTCAAAGAAGCAAAAGGTCAACTTTCTGAAATTCTCTCTGCTTTCGAACTTATGGACAGTCATAGCCAAGATTTAGTTCAAAGAGTAACAAAAAATAAGAGACCATTGGAGGGTGAGTATCCTTTCTACTGTCTCATCGAAACCAGCGGTTCCAATTCCGAACACGACCAAGAGAAATTGAACAATTTCCTCGAACATGTCATGGAGAAAGAGATCGTCTCAGATGGTACTTTAGCCGAGAATGCAACACAAATCAAGGATCTCTGGAGCTGGAGAGAAGGTATTCCCGAATGTCTCGGTCACTGGGGTGGTGTCTACAAATACGATCTTTCCATTCCTTTGAAAGAACTCTATCAACTCGTCGAAGATGTACGAGAAAAAATCACTGAAGCTGGTCTCATCGGCGATACTGAAGATCACCCTGTCGTAGGCGTAGTAGGTTATGGTCACATGGGAGATTCGAATTTGCATCTCAATGTAGCTACTCGAAGCTATGATAAAAGAGTTGAGAAAGTATTAGAGCCATTTGTGTATGAATGGATTGCCAAGAGGAATGGAAGTATCAGTGCCGAGCATGGGCTAGGCTTGGCGAAGAAGAATTATATTGGATATAGTAGGAGTGAGACGATGATTGGGTTGATGAAGGGGATTAAGAACCTCTATGATCCTGTAAGTTTTATGACTAGGTTTATACGATTAGATTTGTGGATATGTACTGACTTTGCATAGAATGGAATCATGAATCCATATAAATACATCTGAGTGGATATGAGGAAGCTTGCGGCTGTAGTTTAGGATGACGTCACATGTCTATATGGGAGAGTTGGACGTTATATTTGTTAAGCGGGCAAGAGAAAACTCAAGTGAATGAAGGATTGTATATACTCATATTATATACCCAAACTCTCGAAGTATATAACACTCATCATCTAAGCAACAGCGAGACGTGTCACTAACACCTCCAACTTATCCTGTAACTTCCGTTTTTTTATTTATTTATATCTCACTCTAACCTCATCTCTACAAGGCGATGTCTTCCCACAAGTTACATAAACTGAGTCCTCAAGCTATCAAACCGCATTCAAAACATCAGCCCTGCACTAGTCATATCGTCCGAAAGCTTCATACAGCTCTTCAACTCGAAAAATTTCTGCCATTGGTTCTTGTATATCATCATGAAATCTTGATTACGGATGTAACTTTCTCGACTGTTGTGATAACCCTTAACCAGTGTAAAAGAGACGTGACAGCGTGGTAGTAGTCCATGTCTTCATTATCTGAGCAATTTTCTACCCCGCTGCAAAGTTGCATCTCTTATCAAAGCCTGTGCTGAACCCTGCATCAACAACGCACGTCATTTTCTCCACCTGCCTTTCCGAGCGACGGAGCCGAGGAATATGTCATTGGTCACTGGACCTATCTATATACTTCGTAAAGAAGCATTAAACTCTCCCTCCTCTCCTCTCTCATCCTTTCATCTTCTCATCCTAAAGATCTACACCACAAACCCCGCCATGTCCAACCCCTCCCCCCTCGTCCATTTCTACGACCTCTCCGGTCCGCAACCCTGGTCCCCCGCCTGCTGGCTCACCCGCTACGCCCTCAACTACAAAAACATCCCCTACGACGTCGAGAAAATCTCCTACCCCGCCATCAAACCACTGTGCGAGAAACTTTTCCCCGACATGACGAATCTCAGCGCCACCGTTCCCATTATCGAGATTCTCGCAGCGCCCCGTGTCGCGCTGAATGATTCGACGCCGATTGCTCAGCTCTTGAATGAGAGGTTTACAGAGGAAAATGGGTATAGGGATTTGAAAGGCGTGGAGGATTTAGAGGGGTATGAAGCGACTAGCGCGCAGTTTTTGGGGAGATCGATCTTAAGGTGGATTATGAATGATGTGTATGAGAATGCGCTGGATAAGGATGATGGGTCGCGGGAGTATTTTAAGAGGACGAGAGAGGAATTTTTGGGGTGCGAGTTGAAGGATGTTATGGAGGTGAGGGGGGGTGGGGAAGCGGCTGTGTTGGAGGATTTGAAAGGAAGTTGGGAGGGGTTGAGGGAGAGGATGGTGGGGGATGATGGGGAGAGTGAACGTAAGTTTCTCATTTGATGATTTGAGTTTTGGGTTTTGAAGAGAGAATGCTGATTAGTGATAGCGACATATGTTGATTTCTTTGATGCTGCTAATGTTAAGTGGATAGCAGCGGTTTCTGAGGAGAAATTGGAAAAGTTGATGGATTTGTATGGAGATGATACTTTTGTTAAGCTGATGAAAAAGGTTGAACCTTGGTCTCGATGATGATTAAGCGAGTGGGAAGCAGATATATCAGTGGGAGGAAGTTACTCAAAGCAAGGCGCAAATCCCTAACATCTGGTTACTTAAGGTTTCTAAGACTTATTTAACAAGCAACTTAACTATTGTGGTGTTTCTGGTTACAATTTGACTTATGCCGCTTATACTATACCTTTATGATAAAGAAAACCCTGTGCCTACAAACCCCTATGCTGAGCCTCTGAGGTCCTCATATCCTAGAATAAGTCTTTAACACGAACTTCCATGTTGCGGTAACTTCAGCTTATCGCTCAGTGTCAAGAATAGTTTAGTCGGAACTATTGTCTATAACCCCAAGGAGAGGAAGGAGAATAATGACGCGGAGCATAATCCGGAGACTACTGTAGTCTCGTAAATATCCTAATTTCAAAACAGGACATTATACGTTGTGCAGAAATTTTTTAGTACTTGCACGGTCTAGAAAGTTGCATACATTACCTACCTAGGTAGTTAAAGCTGTGCCAAAAACTCATATGTAGCATTTCCATTGATTCAGAATCTTTGATCTCGCAGTTCGAATCGGAGTTGTCCTCAAAGCTGAAGGTGAAGCCGAGGTAGCATAGTACTATTCGATACATCTATTGATCCTGAAGGATCCAAATCTTAATATCAAAGGGCCATCAGAGAAGATACTAGACTCCGGGCTTCAAATATTTTTCGAATTTGTTCGGTCCATCATAAATCTACAGATCTTCGAAGCGAAGTAGCTTGACATGCCAAGATTTGTAAACATAACATGAAATATGGACATCTAAGCTCACATGAATTTCATCATTGTATGCTGAACTCAAATAAATTCAATAGGAAGAGAACTCCTGACTAAAATAACAAACATCCAATCGTCCTTTTCGAACATATGAAATCGAAATGCAAAGAGACCGCAGAAATGTCTTCTCCAACCGATACGCAAGATAAAGATCAAATCAAGTATCGTGATTAATCAACCCATTCCCCGGGTATAGATATGTTTGCAAGAGCAGCTTGAAGTGGATTCTCAATGAGTTTCCAAAAATCCCCCGCATATTCATCCCTCCATTCGATTGCCCATAAATCCCAATCCTCAATACGAGGTCCATGCTTGGATCCTAAGATGTTTTCCAGCAGCCAATCCTCATCCGAGTCTTGGGCCATTCTTTTCTTTTTATAAATTGCAGATTCTACTTCGCCGTATGTGTTGAGATCGACACCTAAATTGACCACAAATCCAAGCCACGTCTCGAAGCCCCAAATTTCTCCTTCTTGGACGTCAACTCTTCTATAGCAAAGCTGAATCTTCCTTTGCAGCACCGTTTCGTGATTATCGTCCAAGGTATGGATTGAAATACCGGTCGACATCATTTTCTTGACAAGGTCCACCATCCCTTCATCTTTAAAATTATCTTGCGAAAATTCTCTGCAGGCTCTTATAAAGAATTCTTTCACGGCAATGTTATCACGATGCAGTGCAACGTTTGCCTGGAAATTAGGATCTTCAAGATATGATAAAATCACATTTTGAGATTGTACACCATGCTCGACAAGAAAACGTGAAGCAATATACACTTTATCAATGAAACTTATCTCGCCAGAACTCATCAATGTGCGCTGTTGAAGATAGTGAAACATTTCTGTAGGACAACCAGTACTGCTAGCTAGTATGTGCATCTGATCAATAAGCTCCGAATCTGCCCCTGCTTCGATGAGGGTTCGTAAAATAACAAGTGCGTGAGTATGATCTAATGCTTGAAAGCGATGTCTTCGATCCCAGGAGACACTGAAAATAAACACTCCTAAAGGTGTTTTGCTAACGATAATTAGCTATGTAGACCAATTTAAAATAAAATACGCAAGACTGATTAGCATACCCACGAGCTGCGTCGCTTGAGATATCCGCCCCGTTCTCCAGGAGAAGCTTACATAAATCAAGATGATTATTTGAGGCAGCTATCTAAATTAAGATTAGTTGTCGATAATTGAATAAGTCCGTATTGAATCCGTGCAAAGCTTACGTGTAGTGGCGTACCCTCATCCCAAAAACTTACATGCCGGAGGCCTCCCACAAACCGATCGTTCACAAAAGCCGTTCGATTTGCCAACATCTCCTGTACACCAACAACATCCCCATCTCTCAGGACCTTGAAGAAATCCGATTCGACGTCCAAAGTACGATAAGTCTGAATGTTGAAGTTCCATCTTAAAGTTGATAGATCTCTGGTGTACATACATTGCCACGCTCTATTTGACAGCCATGCTGGAGGTTTGTATTTCGCCTCAGTTTCTTCAAACCGATTTCTATTCCGTTGTTGTTGTGTCTTTCGAACATCAACGGAGCCCATCAAATAGACGGACCACCTTGACGAGTAATCTTGACTATAAATCTGTGCGGAGGTACAATCTTTGGGTACAAAACGTGGGGTTGAATTGCTGTGACATTCGGAGTTCTGTGGCTGTGAAGTTGTTGTAATGTCTCTATTCATCGAGGACATTTGGGTGGTTGGACTCGGCAATGGTGGTACTGGAATAAGCTTCTGATGGTTTATCAAAAACTGATCGAGAGAAGCCTGCATTTTTAACTCGAAGACTGGAAATTGTTGTTGAAGAGTGGCACTGCTACCTGTGAGTAACCCGCGGTCTCGCAAAAAAACACTGGCAGAACTCACTTTGTCTGCCATGTGATCGCGAGATTCATCACTTTTGAAGCATTTTTCATCCTCTTCTTTAATCTCTTAAGTTGATCCTTTTTCAGTACCACCTTCGTGGCACCTAGTTTGCTTCTCCATTTATTGCCTGAGTTCATCTCCTTCCCAAGAGCCTTTACAAGCTCGTTTAATTCATTTGAGGAATCTTCACATAACTTTAGACTATGCTCAAGGAACATGTCCGAAGCCCTGCCGGAAGAAGTTATTCTGGCTTGGCTCTCAAGAATGCTTCGAAGTATCAAATGATGGGAATCAATCTCTCGCGCCAAAAAGCTAATATCATCCGGCGCATCTTTAATTTCATCCCAATAACCCTTCAGCTTGATAATACTAGAAGCAAGACTGCCCGCCAGCTGAGCAACACCGATGCCACTAGCAACTGTGCCAAGAACCTCTGCCATGTTTTTCAATTGTTGAAAGAAAGATAAGTTGGATAGAATTGTGAGGTTATCTGGTTTGTCAAGTGGTCGAGAAGATACAGCCTCAAACCGGCTGTGCTGACTCCAGCTCATGTATGCAAATCAGCATCCAATCAACCCTGGTGTTCTCCACTCTCCAGAAACTATTTGTTGATCCAATAACATTGAAGTGAGATTTGGAATAAGAACATTCTTGATATAGCAAAAGTAGGTATCTTGTATTAACCCAAAGGCTATTAGAATGGAAAAGAAGCATTTGATGGATGAGAATGAGAGTTTATTATGTTAATTATTTGGGCCAAATTGTCGAGTTCTTCGAAGCAGATGTCAAGGCAGTGAGAGTGTCCGAAAGACGCCTATATCTTGAGATGGAAGAATTAGTTTTAATCCACCATATCATAACATATGAAATCAGATTAAAAATCTGTTAAAAGATCAAACAGAGTAAAAAATAAAAGAACCCCTCCTTACCGAATACCTTCTACTACCAGCATGCTTGACACGACCTATAGGACAGGAGAAGAGATATAAAACAATTGCAGTTTTGTATTTCCTATTTTTCAGATCCAATTTAGCAACAGCGCAATCGTGCAAGTATCAGGTAAAGGTGTATATTCGATCAATGACAAGTTTTTCCAATTACCTTTCTGTGAAGTCCGTGAAGTCACTCACCTACCTAGGTACCATTATATCATAATCATCATGTATTCATACCACTTTTCCATCATGTTGAAACATCTCGATATCCCCTCCGAATTCCACTTCGAAGTTTGTCTTATTCGATGGGAACCACTTCAAAATATACGACGATGAGAATTATGTGTAGTTGAGAAGATCTAGTTTTGAGGGGAATGATCTACGAGTACTTCTAGAAAGAACGATCTTTAACTGAGCCACAACCTAACTTCACACTAACAATCCTCTAGTTCGACCCAACCTACCAACCATTCTACAGAGTGTTTTACATCTATCAACCGCGTGGAGAATGGATTCAGAAGGACTATCGATCAATTACCTTACATCACAACTTATATATAATCCAGAAGAAAAACACATCCCCACACATTTCCAAGTCTCCTAGCACTCATCGATTCACACAATTGATACCCACGCACCAACTCATTCCCATTACTCCCCAAGCCAAGAACCCAAAAGTATCACGAGCACCCACCCCACCACACTACCAAGCCAAGACCCCCGGCTCCACAAACCCACCACAAACCACAACAACTTCATCCCGCTACCCGCTACCCGCTACCGCTATCCACCCGGCCCGGCTCCTACCCGTTCCTAGTATATTCTACTTCAGTAGTTGCGAAGCTTAAATGAATGAAACAATTACAGCCATAACCACGACCACGCGGAGATATAGTTGGTGAGCTAGTGAGTTGGTATACTTATGCAGCGGAATTATCTCTTCGTCATCGTGCATCTCTCTATTATTCATCTATGATCTACGATATGATCTCTCATATATGATATAGGTACGAGTACTTATTTGTAGATTAGTGATATATTCGCTGTCTACCAACCACATACAGAAACCACCATCTCCTAACCCACTTGATCATTTTAGACGAATAGGGGATCGACATATCTAGTCCTCAAGTCTCTAGATATGCGAGGAATGCAGCTAGATGAATAGATAGATGGACCGAGATGAGATGGATAAGATTTGAGAATCTTAAGATGATACTTTGTAATGTGGGATGGATATATATACGAGGATTTGGGTGTTGATGTGACGGTCAGATATGTTTACATATTTGGACTGATATAATGATAAATATCAAGTGCTTTACTTTACTATTCATATCATACTACATACCATACTATTTACCACTCCACTCTACCATACCACACTACATCATCTCCCCTCTACCCAACTCACCAAGCCCATCCCCAAAAGACACAAACACACAAACACAACAAACTTCCAAAGAACATATTAAAACCCCCGCAAAACCCATTCCAGAACAATTCAAATACCCATCCACCCATCCACCCATCCAACCCACAACAAAATCCCCCCCCCCCCACCCCCAAAAAACTATTACCACTATCTCAAAACCCCTATCCTAACGAGATAAATCCAGAAAAAGAAAACTATGATTCGCGAGGACCCTCTTCACTTCCCTATATTTATAAGTTTATCATCATAGCACGACCTCATCAGAGACTTCTCTCACTCTTCCCGATTTCTGCACATCTACAATAGATGTAATCTTATTATACTATATTACGAGCGAGTAGCGAATATGAAATATCATTAACATCTTATACCCACCCAGCTGCCAGAGATAACGCTGTATGTAGTTTACTAAATAAAAACAAGACGGCGACTGTGAAAAAAAAATAAAAAATAAAAAGAATCGAGGTACGAACAGTAATAATAATACTCTCATACATCCCAGGTATATTTTTTGTACTCTCTACACACCAACAATATGCTATGTACGCCCCAAGAAAATGCAATCTCAACCACGAACACCGAATCCAACCCCCAACCCTTACTCCGTACAACAATATAAAATTGCAAATCGCAAATCTTAAATCCCAAATCCCGATTCCTAAATCCTAAACCCTAAATCCTATACATACATAAGTATCCAACTCCCCCTCAAACACCCCATCACAAATACCAATACCCCACATCCGGGGCATCCCATTTCGCTTCGAGATTACACGAATTATCCGCCTTATAACAAACCTTCTGCATCGCACAATTGGGACATTTGACTTTCCATTTCCAGGCGGCCGAATCATACATCGCGTGTATATCGTTGAGATGTGTAAACGTGTGGCCTTTGGGACATGATTTTTTATTTTGCGTGTGCATCTTGCCTGGAGAGGCAACTGCAGTAGGTTGCGAAGTAATAGTTGTTAAAAGATCATAAGCGATTGCTGGATTATTTTTGCATAGGCTTGAAAACTCTCCTCTGTCGTTTAGCTCTCTTAAATGCTTTCCTGCAGTTGCGAGGGCGACGGATGTCAGAGAGGTATCGCTTTCTGGGAGTTCCTCGTATATAAGTTCCAGGCTAGCTGAGAAAGAAGGCGTGTTCCAATCAGTCACTATTGCTGCTTCGTACTTTTTCTTTGCGAGGGCTTTGAGAGCTTGAATATCGTATTTGTCGCCGATAATGTAGACCATAGTATTGATTAACAAACGTCCATAACCCTCCTCTTCAGCTTCTTCACTCGGCTCAGAAGTATCGTCATAGTCTTGAAGGTACAAGAAGTTGATCATTCTCGCGACAGTCTCAGGATCATCATCCTCTAAGTCGAGAACGCCAGTAACAGACTCCTGTATCAGTCTCAGTAATAATTCGGGGACATATACATTCCACAACGCTTAGTTGAGGTTTCAAATGGACTGAAGAGACAGGACTGACCATGAATCCTCCATTTGCTGCAGCTTGTATTGGTTTTGATTGTGTGCAAACGACGATTCGATGAACAGGGAATATTCGGGAGTGACATTTAATAACGAAATCACTATATTCGTTTGCACCCATCATTCTAATTCTAGATCAGCAAATACATCCTGCAACAACAGAATTCCAATCGCACTTAGCCCACAGGACTTTAGTCGTATCGACTGATTCATGATCACAGAATCTTACGGGAGACATCTGCGTGACAGGGATGAGAGCTAATATTTGATTTTTTTTCCTTTTCCGATATATGAAATGGCTATTCCAACAAACTTTTGATGCAGACAGGCGTATTTGAGAAGAGAGAGCCATGGAAGTAAGAAGTTGTTTGTTGTAGGAAAAATAAGGTGATTATGAATAACTTGTAGATCATTGAATGCAAGACAGGGGCAGTGCTCCCCATGGAGAAGTACAATAGCGTCATGCGCCCTAAATCCACCGCTCCAATGATTATTCCCCATTCCGTAATGAAAATCAAATAAGCAACACAAATTTAGTCAACATTTGTCTCCTTGAGCTTGGTATTTATAAAAGAAATTCGCGAATGTAGCAGGCTATATTGTAAAACGAGATATTTGCATTCTTAACCAATCAATAAACTCCAGTTGCCCTACCTATGATATACAAACCTAACGCATAACACCTAGTTGTCCATCAGTGGGTGCACGGACTTGTGAGAGCTGCCCCCAAAGTAATAACAAATCATGATTTATCCAAATTCCATCCGACTCCCGTAAAAAACAAACATACAGTCTGATTGCTTGATCTGTAACGGGTATTTTTTGCAGCTCCTAGAATCCCTGAGATAGTAGTTTACAACTATCATCGAATTAAAGTTTCTCGTAATCTCACGAGTCCATGAACCCACTCCACTGCTGGTCCAATCATTCAATTCCAAAACCATCCAGACTTGGAATTCTTTTTGGCTCGCGACTTAATTTCCTGATCATCAGTCTCCACTCTCTGCTGAGATTGAGAACCCTCAAAGTCAAAGTCAGACCTATTGATATCAGATTGCCGGGTCCCTGCTTTATCAACTGTATGACTAGACGTTGTTTCTGTTTCACTCCCGTCGTCAAATCTCTTCCATACACGGATCGTCGTTTCTACACTTCCATCTTCATTGGTAAAATGCTCAACGGTTGAGCTTGAAGACACTTCTCGTTTTGATCCGTTGGGCTCCGAGAGTGATTTGCCACTCATGCTGTTGGCTTCTTGCAAACCCGAGGAACTTGACCGACGAGATTCTTCGAAAGGTACACTTTTACCCTTCATCATTTTTTCTACTGCTGTAAGGGTTGACTCAAGCGTGGTGAAAAATTGATCAGGCGTAGTAGATGCATCTCGAAGAAAACTCTCATACATTTGTTCCTCGGTCTCGGCATTATTCTTGAACCCTTTATTCTGAGAGACAAATGAAGCTGCACCTCGACTGCTGGCGTCAAGTGCTTCAGATGAGGGAGAGTCTTTTGAAACATTGGTCGACTCTGGGCTAGGCAGGTTAAGTATGCCTAGTCTTTGAAGTCGCTCAATCCAATCCAATCCATTCTCCACTGTCGAAGTGATACTTTCGGGTCTTTCGGTGGTTGATCTCTCAATGCGGTCGACTGGAACCTCTGTATCGCGACTCTTCCCCTGGCTGATAAGAAGAAGGTCTTCAAATGCTTCGCAATAAGGAAAGTTGTCTCGGGGAGTGGCTCCACGAGGCCTATCATATGTTTTCGTACCTCTGATTTGCGCGTCGTAGAACTGGTGATGCGCATAGACAGATTGATTGAAAGATAAAAACAGCGGCGAATACGGCGACCCAAAAAGATAGGGCACTAGTGAGTGATCATCAGGATCGGCTTTGTATAACATCATCGCAGCAAAAGAACTCATGGTATGCCTAAGGTTGCCGGAGAAAGGGTTGGCTAAGGGAGACTGCAAAGGTGAATATAGCGGAATATCGGCAGTTCCGAAAACATTTAGCCACTGGTCATGTAAGAAGTGAACAAAATCTACGTCGCCGTGTGTAGTTTGTGACTTCTTTACAGGCATTTGGACTTCTTCGCCCTCCGACATTGTTGTATTCTCACTTCTTGCTTCTTCGGCTTCCTTCAATTCCCTCCGCCTCGCGTGTAGTGCGATTCCTCTTTTCAAATCCTCATCGGATGCGGACCATTGTGAAACATTCTGTGACTTTGAAAATGCCGATGGCAGACCAACGAATCCTTGTAGAACTGCACCTATTTGTTCATCGGCGAAGTGTCTGAAACGAATGAACGGGTTATTGGAATCCGATTGATTGTCTTTGGAGTTTTTGTCAATATCGCCTGGGTTTGATGATTTTGACATTGTGCTTTTGACGACGGTGATATTATTGATGTAGGTGATGTAGGTGATGTAGGTGATGTAGGTGATGTAGCGCAACAGCTATTGTAAGATGTATTGATGGTATCGTCGATTTTAGAGTTGTTGAGAGTTGATGGCTTGTTGATAAGATAGTAGTGGGGAGATACGGTAATGTACTGATTGTGAAGATATCATGGCACCTGCAATTTGTTGACCATTTTTGCGGGGTCTAGGAATTATTAATAAAGTTAGTGCCTGAGAGAGGAAGGCACGGCTCGTGTATGGGCACGTGTACAGACACGCTCGAGGCACGGCACGTACGTAGAGGCATGATTATTTGCGAATGGTTCATCCTTAGCTGGCCGTAGACCAAGGCATTCAACCAATGAATTCTTTTCATTTCTTCGTTTTATTATCGTAGACTTCACTCTGGACAGACAATGATAGCATTCACTGTCAACTAGGTACCGTACCAGTAGATTTTATTTCATTCTTCACTCACTGAGCGATATCATTCTATACCTCGGCTTACCACTTCTTACTATATAAATATAAATTAATATCAACCAATCATTTCATCCTATTATCTTCTTCTTACGATATTCTATATAAATTAACATCAACCAATCATTTCATTCCATTATCTCTTCTTTTTCTCTCCTCTCCTATCCTCTTCTAACCTTCACCGCAAACCAGCACCTCCAACCACAACCACTCAACTACCACAACCACTCCCTGCTACTACACCACTTGCCTTCCTGCGTACACTACCACACTTATCTAACAACCATCGACCAATAAATGCATTTGCCCTTCCTTCTCTATCAATTCCTTCACCGCACATAAGCCACTTTGAGCTCCAAACCCCTTGGGGACGCAGTTTGACTGGTTCTGATAAAAAAGAACCATAGGGAGCTCGCCACGAAAACTCCATAAAGTCGAGAAAAGTATTGACAACACAACATTTCAATCTCTGTCATCACCATCTCACATATTCATACGAGTAAAAAAGCCCATGTAATGCAGCAATTGCTTCTTTCTACTTACCTCTCCCAAGACTGGTAATACTTGCGATTTGAAATTAAGAACAACAATGTCTTGTCTTTTCCTTTTCCAATCCTGAGTGAGAGATTGAGATTGAGATAGAAAAGTATCCACCCACCCACCACCCATACACAAACCATGACAACCACTGGAACACCGTTAATTGTGCGAGATGCATCAACCCCTCACATGCGACCTCACACCACTTCAAAATCCTCCTCAAATCCCCACAACTCAAACTCAAACTCGAGCTTCAACCAAAATGTTTCTCTAAATCCAAATTCGAATTCGAATCCCGATAAAAATAACAATAGACGTCATTCGCTCCCACTTCATTTCCTTCCGCCAAGTTTATGGACATCTAATACTTCAACTGCCAGTCTTGTGGAATCCGAAGAAGCTGCCCGTGGGGAACATATCCTAGACGAGGCTAAGGTTGCAAATCGTCTTGCAGCTCTTCGTTCTCTCAACGGCGCGAATCGAGCCGATCATCGTTATGCGAAATCCACTGGAGAAACATTTAATCAACCGGTGATTGTGCGGACCTACTCAGGAGCTATTCGACCTCGCTCTCAACAACGAGATCCTATTGCAGCCAAGAAACAGAATGGAACAGCGGGCATAGCAGCAAATAAAATGGATATGAAACTTCCGCCAGTGGAGGCTTTCAGCTTCAAGGGGATTATGGATGAAATAAAACATGGTGTTAATGATGATTTAGAGAGGATCGCGGAGATATGTGCAAGGAGCAAGTATAGTTTGGCAAATCAGCATGAATTCCATCACCCCCCTCATGGATCGGGAGATCGCATACCACAAATTGGTATTGTCTCCGCGACAGATCTAGGTGTACCGACATTACAGGCCGTTGAACCGGATGAAGTTTCTCCAAGACAATTAGCCAGAAGCTCAAGGGGAAGTCGAAGGGGGAAATCTGCCGCTTACGGTACACTAGAGACCATCATATCATCATCAAGATCTTCTGACGAGGACAAATCCAGAAAAAAGCCTGCCGCTGTTTTGGAAGATGAGGTTCGTGGAAGAGCAACAAGTAAGGAGATTAAAGTATCACCTCCAAATCCCGATGTGGTAATAGACGCTGCAGTCCCAGAAGCTGTCCCTGAAAGGAGCCCTCCTTCCAAGCACTCCAGGCCAAGATCTTCCACATTCGCATCCATGATTATAGACAATGCCCAAAGCTTCAGACAGGAACACAAACCCCAAGTTTCATCTCCCACCTTCCTTCTAAGCGAACCCGCTCGACCTCAAACCTCTGGTGCGGACCTTGAACATATTCCTGCCCTTGATGAACTTACTCCTGATCGGCCTTCCACTTTCCATGAGTTGACATTACCAAAGCCTACTCTAATACGCAATGAGTCGATAGCTTCCACCCTGAGGCCTGAGACCTCGCCGAGATCGTCTATACTTGGTAGTTTGAGTTCATGGCTACCTTGGAGTAAACCACCTAGTCCAGTGCGAACTTTTCAAAGCAGGGCGAGAAGTGGATCGCATGCAGAAGGAAGTTTGAGAAACTTGTTGAGGTCTACAGAAATCGCTAGAAGGGCCAAAAATGTTGATAGCATTCCTTGAATGTGACCATGCCATATTGAAAGGATCCTAGCGATTTGTTTGTCTTTCAGTGTGGTATATAATTAGCCAAAGAAAAGGGAATGGACCAAAGACGTAGGAAAATTCTAGCCTATCTATATGCGTCGAATGTACTCAGAGCTTCGTGTATAATCTACTAGCACTGGTATAACATGTCTTAATATCCCCATGAATTTCGGTTTAAGGCTGTCTTCGTGTCGCAATACATGCCAAGAAAATTCCGATCTCCAACTACAAGCCAGATTCATCTATTCAATTCTGGACAATGGTTAACAACGTGGACCAGCTAGGGGAATTGTAAGTAAAGATGATTGACAGATATTGTACGTTACATAACCGGATTAAATTGACAAACACCGCAGGATTCTTAAGGAAGGGGACAAGTACTCAGATCTTATCATAAGATTTCAAGGAGAAGCATTTCCCGTACACAGAAACGTCATTTGCGTACAGTCCAAATTCTTCACTGCTATGGTGGATCGCGATTGGAAAGTAGGCTATCACTTCTCTACCTTGAAATGCAGCTCATAGAGTACACCCTAATTGTGGCTAGGATGGTACCACCTGTGAGATACTGCTCGACTTCGATGAGGCTGATCTCGACATTTTTGAAACTATGGTCCGATTTTTCTATCACCGCTCTCTTGGTGATGAACATGACTCCGTCACTCTTACTAGACTTTACATCATGGGGGGGAAATGGGGCATTCCGTTCCTGAAGAAGAGCGCTGCCTCCAAGATTGAAAATATTCTAGACGCATATTCAAGGCAGGCCTCTTCACCTACGGATGCAGTCTTTGAAATGCTGAGACTCGCTTATTCATGTCTTCCGCAGTGGGATATGGATCTCAAACTGATCATCTTGCATCACGTTCTCAAGCATGAAAGCTTGGAGCCCTTGATGAAAGAACGTGGCTTCGAAGCTTTCCTTGTAGGAAATGGAAGAATAGCGATGGACCTCTTGCAAGCCCATTTGAATGCTCCCAGCACGGCTCTCGAAATTGAGCAGAGGTACAAAGATCAATAAATAAGCTCAAGAGCCAACGCGTCCTTGGCTTCACATTTATGAACTGCCATATTATACTCTATCTAATACAATCCTTCAACACTATATGCTCTTGGTGTGTTGTTATACCTGCGCACAGTAACTTCCACCTCACTATTTTCTGTACGTTGATTGCCCTTATTCACGAAGTCCAGTGAAGCTATAATTTGCATGTACAATCACAGTTTCCCATTCTCGGTCGCTCATATATACGAATAACTATCTCGATGTATAGATTTCCATATCACATTCAAATTAACGAAAGTGCCTATTTACTGCAAAGTCAAAACATATTCACACCCTTTGACCTTCTTTACAAGTGTTTCTTATTAACTCTTTTCGATAAGCCTCTCTATAAAAGGGCACTCTCCATCTCAAATCTTGACCATTCCAAAGTACTCAACCGTGAGAAAAATTACCTCTACACTCATCACACTATCAGAAATGGCATCAAAAACACCGCGCACCCTGGAAGATATGTAAGTCCTCCTTCAGAAATACCCCTAATTCAGCCGAGTCAAATCATTGCGAGATATATCTTTAAGAGAAATAAGAAAGAGTTTCCTAACTAATTCTCAGGGCATATAAACCAAGCGATAAATGTGGACCCCCAGATTTCACTATTAAGTGTAAAGGCCATTCATTTCTCGTCCACAGGGACATCGTTGCTCCGCAGTCTAAACCATTGGGTGCTGCGATGGACACTGAGAAATTCTTGGTAAGCTTCACTCTGCTAGTTCCAGTCTTCTTTTACCATTGCTAAGATATTTAAATGATGTAATTTCACCTCAAATTTGCTGATCTATCTTGGAATATAGGAAGGAACAAGAAGAGAAATGATACTGAGCGACGAAAACGATGACCCAGAAATCGTGGGATTAATGGTCGAATTTCTTTACACCGGGGAGTATACTATTTCCTTTCCCTCTAATACTTCCTCCTCGGCACGCTACTCATCAGACGAAGCGATTAGATGTATCCGCCACGTAGCACTGCACATCTTCTCTGATCTCTGGGACATTCCCTCTTTACAAGTCCTCACTCTCTCGAATCTTCAAACTACCCTTTCACATCTTCCTTTATCATATTTCACATCGGTGTTGCGATATATCTATGAAGAAACCCCGGGATCGTATACGCGCGTTAGACAGATAGCTGTAAAGGCTTTGATGGAAAGATTTACAGTTGGGGAAATCATGAAGGATAAGGAGTTGAGAGAGCTGTTGAGTGCGGATGGAGAGTGTGCTGTGGATTTGTTGGTTTGGGGGGAGGAGAGGAGAGTCCAGAGAGAGAGGAGAGTGGGGAGAGATTGGGAACAGAGTGCAGTGAGGGGAAGAAGAGTGTGTGAGGAGAGTATGGGGAGAAAGGGGGACATTTTTGGGGATCGAACAGGATGGGCTGATCATACTGGTGCGAGGTTTTGAGAGGGATTTGTGAATGGTGGTTTGTCGGATGATTGATAGGGAGGGAAGTGAGGGGTTGTTTTGGATGGGTCTAGATTGGAGGGGGCGAGATGTAAACGATGACGAATAACGATGATGTTGAGCAACTATAAACCATATGAGATCTTGCCCGACAAATGTGAGCCCAAAAAAATCAAGACTTGAGAAATAGTATACTTTCAAACCAATATTTGATAGCCCCTCGTAGCAAATGCAGTCGCCATCCTTCAATTGCCACTTCCTACATCAGTAATCTCAAGAGCCTCAACCCACCCCCAAACCGGCCACATACATACTCACAACCGGCCCGCATGACTCACGTGCATGATCTCATCCGCAGCCGCCGAAAAATCTCCACTCTCACCCCAAGGCAGAATCCTTCTCCCCACATCTCACTCCTCACAGCATTCTTCACAGCATTCTTCACAGCATCTTCTCCGGTTTCTCGCATCGCTCCATCCTCTGCACCCAGATATATCCCACGATTCGCCATTTCCGCGCAGAAATTCATATGCAGCTGCAGCGAAAAAGCTGCGAAAGGAAGGACGAAAATGAGGCTGAGATGGTTTACCGGTCACCCACTACTCCGTATACGTTTGAGGCAGGCAAGTGGAGCGCTTGTGAAATCCTTGTTCTGCTATCCCCGCGTCGCTTCACCGAGTTTGCTGTGTTAACCTTATTGTTAAGTAACTTCACGCTTGTCTTGTCGCTTGCATTTGATTATCATCTGAGGGCCCCCGCAGGCCTCTATTACGGTATGAGGGTATCAATCTTATCGGGATTCTTATCGCTGCATTGATCCTGTGAAAGGAGCTGGTGCTGGGTACCTAGGTGGGTAGCGTAGCTCATTAATAAATGCTTGGAAATCCGGAGTAAAGTAGACAAACAGACGAATAAACGAATCGACAAAAATGGGTCCATTAGGCAAAACCGATCAAAAGTGGCGTATCATACGTAGATATGATAATCCGCATCCAGTAATCAATCCACAACATATCATTTTCTACCATTCACTAGAGACCGCTGGCGACCGCTCAGCCTTGACTCATTGACACGATACAGGGTCATCAGCAGCGAATTTTCATTCGTGATGATAGGAGGAGCGCATTCCTTGAGGAGTGGACTTGCAGCAGCGGTGCAACACTGTTAGCCTCGTTATGCATCTTGCACTCGCTTGATTGGATTGTCTGCCTATCTGACCTGCATTTTGGTGCTCTGGGGCTAACGCTATGCGACCTGTGGTAGGCGGATCTAGAGGTAAGTACTGGGTGAGGAAATGGATATAAGTCGTGGAAGCCATTTTCTGGTGAATAAATTGATTTGATTATTCTTCGTTTCTTTGGATTTATTATATATTTGCGTTGGAATTAACTGGGTGGATTATAAATCAGGTGAAACGTGGAATTGAATTGAGCATATGTTGAATTTGCATTTCAATTGAATACTCATTATCGCAAGGTTTATATATATTGAATCGTGGGATACAGCCGGTCTGCTTTTGCATTACCAACTGACTACCTTACGTATAAGTGAAAACCGCTCACTCGTACCATCATATCTCATTACTCGACTGCTTTTCTACAAGTCGAAAAACAGAGGAACCTCATATTCATACATCCGAAAATGCCGCCAGAATCAAAAAGTAATCTTACATGCATCGCTTGCATCAATACAACAAAAGATTGCCAAAATGTATTAATGCAGGTCATACTGGCTCTGGAGAATGCATCGGAGGTCTATCGGAAATTGGTACCTTTTGTGAGGAAATCCCATGCGAGAAATACGTTGGGACATGATGTGTATGTGGTGGAGGGACAGTTGAGGAGGGCGTTACAGAGACTTTATGAGGTTGATGTTGTGGAGGAGGAGGGGAGAGAAACATTGAGTAAGTTGGTGGGGGAAGTTAAGAGTGAGGGGTTGGGAAATCAGCCTCTTTTTAGGGTGGTTAATGATGAGAAGACGAAGAAGAGTGGTGAGATGGAGGGAAGTGGGAAGGGAGAGAGCGGAATCAATTTTCCAATTTTGAAACTCGATGCTGGATTTTCTGATGTCAAGGTTCCGTTTATGGATTCCGCGGTGGAGGCTAGGAGCCCGGGGTTCTTTGAGGAAGTTCTCTTGGATGATGATGTCATGGCTATTGTGGAGGAGGACTGCGAGCAAAAGGAGATTGATTTGGAAAGGTGCATGGAATTAACACCTATGCCGACTCATCTCACTCCTGACATTCCTTACCTGCTAAAAGCTATTCGTCTATGGTTAGAGGAATTTTTTGAATCAAAAGATGATTCTATAGGGATTCCACCATCGATGGTATGCCAGCTTTCTGAGTTCGAGACAGCCTTTGGACTGGAGAGATTACCAACAACGAGTTGTATCTGGAATCCCGATTATCAAAGACAACGGAAAGAGGTATGGACGATCACATCATTTTGGGGACCCAATCAACGATCGAAATGTATATGTATACCTGAGGAGCCCGATGAGAATACTTTGACACATTCGAATGATAGTTGGTGTCCGAAAAATATGCCTGTGGATTTGGATTGGCCATCAAGTCATTATGAATGGGATGACAGGACCCATCGATGGATTACTCGTCGGGGGCCTGGCTGCAAAAAAGGTGGGCCAGCACCACCTCCTGAATACTCTAAGCAAGACGATAGTGCATCTGATGACGGATTCGATTCAGACTCGGATTCGGACAATCAAATTGCCGAGAGGATTGAACGAAGTAAAAGGGAAAGAGCGCAAGAAGGAGAGAAAGCCTGGGAAGAAATCATGGGTATGACTGGTTTGAAGAACGTAAAAGAACACGTGAGGAAACTCAAAGCCAAAGTTGAGAGTTCGATTCGGCAGAATATCGATCTGGGGGAAGAGAGATTTGGCGCAGTTTTTATGGGTAATTCAGGGACTGGAAAAACGACCATGGCTAGAATTTATACTAAATATCTGTATTCGATGGGAATCATCAAGAGAGATGATATTCTCATGACAACAGGTACATATCTTTCAGATGGGGGTATTGAAAGGACAAAACGATACGTTGATAAAATAGCCGATGGCGGTGTGATGTTCATCGACGATGCCATGACTTTAGACGATTATAGCAACGGAGGCAAGATTCTCGATTTTCTCTACCAGGAAATCGATCAGAAGAAAGGATCTGCAGTTTTCATTCTTGCGGGACACGAAAAAGGAATGCGCAAATTGTTAGGACATGGCACAAAGAGTGTTGCCAGTCTGCTTCCCAACGTTCTCACATTCGACGATTTCACAGAGCCTGAATTACTTGAAATTCTCAATTCGTGTATCAAGAAGAGATTTGAAGGGAAGATGGAGGTTGAGGGTGGTCATGATGGACTTTATATGCGGATTGCGGCGAGGAGAGTTAGTAGAACGAGAGGAGGCTCTCAGTTTGGTAATGCTAGAGCTGTGGAAAATCTGGTCGCGCAGATCTGGGAGAGACAGTCTGCTAGGTTGTCTAAGATTCGACAAGAGAGAGCTGCTAAGGCTGCGGAAGAAGAGGCTGCGAAGGAGAAAGAAGGCGAGGAGAAGACGGGTGAAGAGAAGGCAGGTGAAGAGAAGACGATCGAGGAGAGTACTACTGGCGAACAGACCGCCGGGGACAAGCCGCAAGTTGAGCCTTTGGTAGAAACAAATTCCGAGACAGAACATAAATCTGACACGGGAGAGAATGCATGTCAAGAAACAAGTCAGGGAGACAAGTTAGAAGCAGATACTGATCCAAACGTCGTTGTTGCAAAGGAACTCGCCGATGTACGCAAAGACGACAAAATTACCAAGAGCGAGGAGACCAAGGAAGAAACCGGGAAATCGCTGCGCGAGAGATACACTAAAGCGGAGATATTGAAAGTTCCAGCCAGCAACAATCTTGGGAGCGAGACAAAATCAAAAGAAGAGCCTGTTGTCGTGGTGGTTCCGGAACCAGCGGAAGTGTCAACGCCCATAGACGCAAGTTTCATAGAAGAGGTCAAATCAGAAGAACCAAAATCAGATGAAGAGACACCCTCGTCTACAAAAGACGAGGTAGTGGTAGATGAGCAGGCATCCTTGAAAGAGACAGTCCCAACGGAAGTAGAAATCGATAAAGAACTAGAAACAAAAGATGAAGACCCCTCGAAAGTCGAAAATAGTAATGAAAACAAAGTTGAGGAGGACAGCCCCTCCAAAGATGGCAAATTGGCCGATGAAGCACAAGATTCGACCGACAAAGATCCAGATTCAGGATCAGAAACTGAGGAAACTCCAGCAATCGATCCAGAGGACCTCTTGTTTACAAAAGAAGATATACTCGGTCCAGATCCTTCCGCTGTTATTCTCAACAGTGAGGCTTGGCAGGAACTTCAAAAGCTTATTGGTCTGGAGAAGGTTAAGACTTCTTTGCTTACACTCCTTGAGCTCGTCAAGTCAAATTATCAGCGAGAGCTGGAAGAAAAACCTCTGCATCAATTCACCCTGAATCGCTTATTCTTGGGTCCAGCTGGAACTGGCAAAACAGTGGTTGCGAAGTTGTATGCTAAAATCCTTGGTGAGATCGGTGTTCTCTCGAAGGGTGAAGTGATATTTCGTAACCCTAGTGATTTGATTGGACAATATATTGGAGATTCTGAAGCGAATACGAAAGCTGCGCTTAACGCCGCAAGGGGCAATGTGTTAGTCATTGATGAAGCATATATGATGTACAGTGGGAACTCGGACGGCACTGGAAATGAAAGCGACTCGTACAGACAAGGAGTTATCGATACGCTAGTTGCAGAAGTGCAAGGAAATCCTGGCGATGATCTATGCGTTCTCTTACTGGGATATAAGGAGCCGATGCTGGAAATGCTTAATCACTCGAATCCTGGACTCAGTCGACGATTCCCTATCGAAAGTGCATTCTGCTTCGAGAACTTTTCGGCTGATGAACTCGAGAAAATCCTCCGCTCGAAATTAGAATTCCATGTTCTTGAAGCTACAGAAGAAGCCATCAAGGTTGCAATGGATGTACTCCAGAAAGCCCGGACCAGACTAAACTTTGGTAATGGTGGAGAAGTAGAGAATTTAATTGCGACTGCGAGAACCAATTACCAATTGAGAACGTCGAAAATTCCAGTGGAAGAAAGATCTAGTAAATGGGTATTCCAACCGGAGGATTTCGATCCTGAATATGATAGAGGCAGATCGGCGAATGAGAACCTTCAAAGACTTTTTGCCGATGTCATTGGGTGTGAGAATATAGTTAAACAGTTGGGACAATACCAAAATGTTTGTAAAGCCATGAAATCAAGGAATATCGATCCAAGACAGTACATCCCGACGAATTTTGTCTTCAAGGGACCACCAGGTAAGATCTATACGTCTCGCCTTCTCACAGAATAACGGGTATTAACAACTATGTTCTAGGAACTGGCAAGACAACCACAGCACGAAAGTTCGCAAAAGTTTATTATGACATGGGATTTCTCTCCGACGAAACAGTCATCGAGTGCTCAGCCAGCGACCTTATCGGCAAATACGTTGGTCATTCAGGGCCCAAAACCGCGAAGGTTCTAGAAAAGGCTCTAGGAAAAGTTTTATTTGTCGACGAAGCATATCGTTTAGCACCCCATACCGAAAGCCACAGTTTCACATCTGAAGTAGTCTCAGAACTCGTTGATCTGCTCACAAAACCCAAGTTTCACGGAAATTTGATTGTGATCCTCGCTGGTTACGAGGACGAAATTAACTCCTTGTTATCAGCGAATCCAGGACTCGCATCACGATTCCCAGATGAAATGAACTTCCCAGCTTTGACGCCCCTGCATTGTTTGCAGATTTTGGAAATCAAATTACGGCTTGCGGGGATTACTATTCCGATACTGAAGCAAACCGAACAGAGAGAATTCGAACAATTGTTGCGAGTAATGACGTTCTTAACAGCAACGCATAGCTGGGGTAATGCTAGAGATGTGGAGACATTAGCGAAGGCGATTTGCAGAACTGTGTTTTTGGAAATGGCGGTAGAAGGAGAGTTGGTTTGTACAGCAGAGAATGCGACGATGGCGATAGAAGTTATGTTGCATGAGAGAAGACAAAGGGCGTTTACGGCATTGCCGCCACCTAGATACGAATAGAAATGGGAATTGGAAATGGGGGAGTAGGGGAACAGGAAAATCGAATCTTGGGGGGGATGAATCGATGGATTCAATCTTTGCTAATGGTGATAAATAGATCACTGATGATTTTAATGAATATGATTTTAACTATATGTATTTTGAACGATGTATTCAAGGCATGTCTTTATTGCTTTATTTGGAAATTCACGGATCCGAAAAATTCGAGTAACCCTTTGATTAGTTGATAGAACTCGAATGGCGAAATGAACTGTTAGTAATTGAAAAATCATGCAATAGGGTTGGTAAGTGAGATTGCTTCGGGGTCTGATTTGTTGTAACTGACTGTAAGTTGGTACCAACATGACTGCATTTTATATTGGCAACAGTTGGATGTGGAGGGGTTTGCTTTTTACACCGTCTAGAAAAAGGAGACTTGCCCTCTCCTCAAACCTTAGCTCAAATAGTATCTCCATCGACGTCTGAATGCCTCAACATCTCTAGCAACTTTTTGGTTATTCATTTTTGAGAATATTCGTGAACAATTATTCGACATGGGGGTCACAGCTCTCATAGCAACTATCCTTGAAGAAAACAAGATTGCAGTAGCATTCCTTGCTCTACTCGCGGTACCACTCCCCGAATATTTGACGGACTACAACAGAGCTAATATATAAAAGTATCCTATATCAAATGCTATCTACAATATCTATTTCCACCCTCTCGCGAAATTCCCAGGTCCTAAACTTTGGACCGCTTCGCGACTCCCCTTCATATACTACCTTCTCACAGGACAGCTCGTGAAGAAAGTAAAAGAATTCCACGACATCTATGGAGAATTCTACCGTCTCGCACCAGATGAAGTATCATTTGCCAGCGAGCAAGCTTGGAACGATATATACACTTTTCGTCGCGGACACAAGCGTGCTTTGAGAGACAAGGTTTGGTATATTGGTTAGTAAATGTGTTGGAGAAGTATATATGAAATTGATCGCTGATCATTTCAGCACCAAACAATCAAGCCGATAACCTCATTACAAAGACCGACTTCAAGTTCCACGCTCGTGTCCGAGGACTGATGAGTAATTCTTTCACCGATGAAGCGCTCCGCACACAGCATCCATTAATCGAATCTCATGCTGACATGCTGATTTCCAAGATCAGAGAAGCTGCCGAGAAGCCCGAGAACTCGACTAGAGGTGCTCGGATCAATATTACAGACTGGTTGAACTTTTTCACCATGGACATCATCGGAGATTTGGCTTTTGGAGCACCGTTTGGCTGCCTCGAGAAAGGAGAATATCATCATTGGGTCCGTACGCTGTTCAGCTATCTCAAGGGGATGTCCATCGCTGCAGCTCCTCGGTTCTACCCTACGATGGAATTTCTGTTTCAGAAATTAATTCCGAAAAGAATCGTGGAGGAACAGAGGCAGCATAGTGCGTATGCGGAAAAGATGATTAATCGTCGCTTAGATACAAAAGGTGATCGTCCGGATTTCATGACTCCTTTCATGAGAAACAATGTCAACTTTGAAAATATGTCCCGCGAGGAGATCGTATCCACGTTTAATTTCATCATCGTGGGTGGTTCTGAAACTTCGGCAACAGTGATGACTGGTATATTTAACCACCTCACCAGAAAGAAGAACAAGGGAATCCTTGACCGACTTTGTAACGACATTAGAACAAAGTTCAGGGAGGAGAAGGAAATCACTTTGGATGCGATCCAAAGCACTTCTATCCCTTATCTGGAAGCTGTAATTAACGAGGGCTTGAGAATATGCAATCCAATTCCTAGTGGACTGCCGCGTGTAGTCCCTGAAGGCGGGGACGAATATTGTGGTATATTCCTCCCGGGAGGTGTGAGTACTCAAGACCCATAAATACAGTGATTCATTAAATTAACATTCCAGCAGACACGTCTAGCAGTTCGGACATATGCGACAAATTGATCCAAAAATATATTTGCAGATCCAGACGAATTTGTCCCTGAACGCTGGCTACCGAAAGACCAACAACCGAAAAAATTTGCAAATGATCAGCTCTCGGCTAGCAAACCTTTTAGTGTGGGATTCCATAGCTGTCTGGGAAGACCGCTTGCATGGGCAGAGATCCGTCTTGCAGTCACTAGACTCTTGTGGACATTTGATTTTTCAGTTGATGCGGAGGACGAAGTAGATTTTGATGAGTTTCCGGTGATAATGATCATTCAAAAAGCCCCTATGAACTTGAGAGCCAAGATCAGGCCTGGAATCTAGCAGCGGTTTCATAGAAAGTGATGAGTGAAAATGTAGGCAATAGGATTGGCCAACGAGGTCGCGACAGGGGTTTCAGGCGTCAGCGCGTTGATCACTGCACGTGCATGGCAGAGGCACAGCTCAGCTGTATCGTGGGAATACTCCTATCTAAGAATAATCAAACCGATAGAACTCCCAGTGAATAAACATTATACCTATGAGCATTTTCTAGACCTGTGTCAAAGAATCTTTCCAGACTGATTGTGCGTCTGTATCAATCTGTGCAACTTGAGCCAATGATGCCACGAGGCACGAGCAAGAGTAGTGGAATGACAACTATCCCGTTGAAACGAAAGGACAAACGAACGCGAGCATATTTTCCCAAGGTAAATTACCATGAATTCCTCAACATAACTTTACATTGACGATATAACAATTTTAGACAAGAACTGGTTGTTGGACTTGCAGGTTCGTACTAAATTTCCGAAACCTTATTTTCACCACCAAGGTCACGTGAGTTGCCAAGATTGACCACAATCTCAGAAAACGACGAGTCAAATGTGACGAAAAAAAGCCAGATTGTGCTAGATGTGAGGCTTCGGGTTTCAAATGCGATGGGTACTCTGTAGACGCATTTTCACATGCTCACAGGCGCGCAATTGTTGTTCAGAAACCGCAGCCAAAGAGAAAATCTAGTGCAACTCATCGTGCTATACTACCCTCGAAAGGTCTGATACTTCTAATAAGCGATTACTAGCTATTGCTTATTGTAAAGTCATTCAATTAGTAGCTGACGCGAAAGCAGCCCCTAAAACAGCTCGTATAAACATACGAGTTCTGCGACCAAGGAGTCCCATCGTCGAAACCGAACAAGAATACCGGTACTTTTGTTTCTTCACGGAAAGTACTACACAACGGCTATGCGGATTCTTCGAATCAAAACTATGGAGTCATCTAATGTTGCAAGCTGGCGAACAGGAACGGCCAATTCGGCATGCTATGAGCGCTATAGGGGCTCTTGATTTGATATTGCATACGAAAGAGCAAAATCCACGATCACCCGTTGCAAGGTCAACTATAGAGGACCATCATATGTTCGCTATCAAACAGTATGATAAAGCAGTGAAATTGATGAAGGAAGATATCGCTGAAAGAGGCCATTCATTAAGAACAGCCTTACTCTTTTGCTTGCTCATTGTATGCTTTGAGAATCTTTATGGGACACAACAATCCGCTACTGTACACATCATAGCTGGAATCCGTCTAATAGAAGCATATCATCATGAACATACATCTAGAAGCGACGCACCTCATCTGCAAAAGTCTGAGGAGTCCGATGCTTCGACCGATTCGGTTACTTTTGGCATAGCTTCTCCGGTGCCAAGTGACGTAGAAGATGAAATCTACCAGGCCTTCGGCTTACTAGAAATCGCTTCGTTGAGCTTCAATGTTGACGGTCGAGGCATGGCCTACCATATGTTAGCTAAGGATTCTGGATCCTCGTGTGTAAAGAACATGCCTTCTCGATTTGCATCTCTCCCGGAAGCCAAGGCCTATTGGGATCTCATCATGCGTCGTCTTTTGCATCTTTTGCCCACGTTGAATACCGCACAAGCAACAATGCGCGGCTACGAGGATGATAATGAGACAGCTATCATGAAGAAACCTTCTTCAGCTGTGATTGAAGAACAAGAGAGATATCTTGCCGAATTAGTTTCTTGGCACGAGGCTTTTACACCAATCTTGGAAAAATGCCGTCTCTTCCCGAGAAAGAGAGATTTTGCAGGTGCCACAATCCTAAAATTGCGCTGGATTCTCTGTCGCATTGCCATTAACTCCGCATTGATCCCATCGCAAGTCGCTCTTGATCAGTACTTGGAAGATTTCCGCGAAGTCCTTAATTCAGCAAAAAGCTTAATGTCTCATCCAGCATGGACAGGCAAGTTCACATTTGATTCTGGAATCATCAGTCAGATATATGTTGTTGCACTCAAATGTCGAAATTTTCCAATTCGATCGGAAGCTATCTCATTGTTATTGTCGAAGTCATGGCGCGAGGGGGTGTGGGATAGTGCTGTGGCTGGCAATATTGCTAGAGCAGTTGTGGGCTTGGAAGAGGAAGGTAGAGAAGCTGGCTTCATACCTGAGAGTAAGAGAGTGTATCAGACCTCTATGCGATTCGATTTACAAAAGCGGATTGGAACAGTGAAATGCTTTAGAAATATTAGTAACCCATCCGAAAGAGAGCACCCGATTACGAAGAGCATAAAGTGGTAAAGCCATGATAATTGGCGATCATCTCTACAAAGCACATGTTTGCTTGAGGCTTACATTGAAAGGAGGATGGAAGGGGTACCTACAAATAACATGGTGGATACTCAATCTGAAGTTGAGTTGGACCTTGTAACTTTAACGATGCGCCAATAAAACCGAGAACATATCAAAAATAAAGCATGTGATCGGCGTGAGGGCGTTGATGATGGAAAGCGGTCCGAGCCGGCTTCAAAGATTAGCCGACCCCATACATATAACCAAATATGGCGACAAACATTTAAGCACCCCCACGTCTCGTATGGCGCAGCGGTAGAGTTCATCATTCCCGAGTAATGTTGTCCGCCTCTCTACTTGCATTGGCAGGGCTTCGTCAGTGACAACGTATATAAGACCTGTCTGAACGCAAGTTCAGTCAGGGTAAAAACGATTTGGTTCATTGGGATTCTAGGCGTCCGGGCCTAGAGTTTTGCCATTTTGGAATCCATTTTTGTGGGGCCTAGTAATAATGGTTGGTCAGCAGTAGCAAGTGAATACTACTAGGTAGGTATATTATTGTTGTTTCAAGGAAGGCTGAAAAGTTTCATTGGAGTACGGGTTTATTGGCGGTCAAGTGTTGAAAGTTCACTTCAATTTTTGGATCATTTTTTGTGGATACTATATTTTGTATTAATAGTCGGCTCTTCAAGCGGCCGGCTATTACCTTCTCACTCAAAAATAATATGGTCTATTTATCTGCTGTCTAGAATCTAGTGCCTAGGCTAAGAATCAATAATTGGGGAAGTCTGCATTCCAAGGTTGTATATGTTATTTTCATGTGGCTATGTTGAAGTTTGGCAATAGGTACTAGGTAGGTGCCCAGATGCCATGCACGTTGAAGAAAAGAACAACCTTCCAACGTTATTAGTGATATATTTTGGTTCTATGATTTGTTTCCATATATTCATTGTGTTCATTGCAATCTGAAATAAAACCTGATAGTGTGGCAAGTGAATCAATGAGGTGAATTCAGGAAAATCACGTGTAGGGACTATGTTCTCAGTATCTTTCTGCTCGAGCTCACAACAAACTGAAGAAACTCTGTTCATACAGGAAACCACAACCACAATTACAACCTCAAAGAGAAGGTTCAAAAAAACACCCTTCCAAGTAAGACAAATTAAGTTCTAATGTTTACTAGATTCTATAGTCAAAAGCAAATACAAAAAACATATCAAGTTTCTATAAACCATCATGGACCCTCCCAACACAACAAGTCAACCCTCGGTCGAGAATCAATCGAATCAATCCTCCTCCGAGTCACTATTCCTGAATAACTTATTCAAGCAACCTCACCCGTTGTTTATCTCTCAGTAAGTTTGATGTATCATCTCATTTGACATAACAATATTGATCATTGACAGGTTATACACGACGGGAAAATACACAGACCTTATCATCAAGTGCCAAGGAAAAGAGTTCAAAGTCCATCGAGCAATTATTTGTTCTCAATCAAAGCCTCTTGCTGCGGCTATAGATCACGGATTTAAGGTAATCAAACTGCAAGGTGATGATGAGTGGCTTGTTCTTGCTGATACCGAGGTTTAGGAAGCTACTGATGGTGTCTTCGATTTCGACGAGGAGGAACCAGAGATTGTGGAGTACATGATCCGATTTCTTTATGATGGTCTCTACTCTGTATCCAAACAACAGAAGCATCCTGATACTGCGACGTGGGGAGGAAACGCAACTTCTGCCATGCCAGATGGAACATTTCTTACTGGAGATTCATCGGACCCGCCATTTTACTTTACTAAGCAATCCTTCCGCGCTACAGCAAACAGTGATACAGGTGGACCTGAGAAAGTCTTTGGATCAACTCTCCCGGCTGGGCAAAAGTTATTTCCAAGCTTAAACGGCGCCTCCATTTTCGGACCTCCACAAGCACCAAGAGATAGTGGACGCAACTTGTTCAGCTATGTACCCCAAACTCGTGAAAACTCGTCGTTATTCAGCCTTTACCGCGACGTTGCTCCTCGTACTGCACCTGCACCCGCAACTGGAAACAATTTTCGCTCTGTTTCTCCAACTACTACTCAAGCAACTACCTCTCGGTCGACATCAAACGTATTTGAGCCCATTGTTTTTACCAATGCCTCGACAACTGGAAACTCGTTTGCTCCCAATGCTCCTGTTGCTCCTGTCGATGCCCCTACAACTGCGACCGCGTCCTCAATACGGAACTTGCTTGGTGCACCCACAGAGAATACTTCGCGCAATAATATCGAGGCAGCAAAGACTCCAATCCAATTATCAAAAGGCAAATTTAATTGGTCAGGTCGTGGTAGTCTTTTTGGCAAGAGCGCAACTTATGGTCTGTCGTCCGAAAACATCGAGCTTCAAGCGGAGGATTTGATCAAGCATGCAAAGGTCTATATCATGGCAGAAAAATACGATATCCAGACATTGAAGAGACTTGCTCGTCAAGGATACTCCTCTGTCGCAGATAATTACTGGAACTCTTGTTGCTTTGTTCAAAGTATTGAACTTATTTTCGATGGCACACCTGATATTTCCGAAGGTGATGATCTTCGAAAGGCTGCTCTGGAAGTTGCTAGTAGATATATGAAACAACTTCTAGTGAGGGAAGATTTCGCTCAAATGTGCCAGGAGAGAGGTGATATCAGTTTCGCAATTCTTCAGTGGTCTTCGTGGTCGATGTAATGATTCTTAGGGAGGCAATATGGAATGATTTCTTGATACTGTAGGCTGGTGGAGTTTTGAGTGGGAGAATGTTCTGGCAGTTATTAAGGATACGAATTTGTCTTCTGTTTTCTAATGATAGGATGATACAAGCAAATGAATACGATTTTGTTTTTCAGAGAAAGACAATTGCTTCCTTTGAAAGCTATACGATTCAGGGAATTTAAAACAGTCTACGGGTTTCCAATGTACAATAAGGGGTGATTATCTAGGTAGACTCACGAGAATACTTCAAAAGTTGAATACAGCAAAATCTTTTCAATGCCAACTCGTTCATCTCAAAAATTGATCAAATAATTCTTTGCAGACAAGACAACGAGACTGTACGTCGTGAGTTCTAGAATTAGATCATTGTCAACTTTGCTTATGTGCACTCACTATGGATATCTATCAAATGCTGAATCCAACACAAAGTTAATATTTGCTTGAGGCTTCCAGCCAGCTTTGATGGAACATATAAAGAACAAGCTCTGGAAAGATCGAATCAATTATTGCTGTGAATATAAACATGACTTCGTATCAACTCCATCAAATGTACTCCATCAGAAATTGGTGCGACATTTCTTCTGTACAAGCAGTCATGAATCAACACCAGAAAGCAAATGCTGAAGCCCGTCATGGGTAAGTCAAGCCGTCTGATTTTGCCTACCTCAACTAACCTGTAAGAATCTACCAATCGAAGGACTACCATGATATCGAGTTGAAGTGCAAGGACGGCGTTATCTTCGCACATAGTGCAATACTGCTACCTCGCTCCGCGGTCCTCGCAAATAGGGAAGATGAGAGATGGAGCGTCATTGAACCAAATCTACGACACTTTGATATGTCAGATCAGCATTCACTCATCGTCAACGCAGCGCTTTCGTACATCTATACTTCCGAATACAATGATGACCCTTCTGGCACCTATTCACATTTGAATGTGCTTCCTCGCATCCTCCCTCTGCCTCATCAACCCCAGCATTCCTTTCCACCTGCTCAAAACCTTGACGACTCACGATTGGTTTTCAACACGGAAATGTACATCTTCGCCCGCAAATACAAGATCGAAACGCTGGAATACCTAGCCGTTGAGAAATTCAATGGTGTCGCGCATCTTCCTTCACCTCCCTTACTTACCCCCAACACAGAAGTACTAGAGAGAAGACCTGCTTTTGTCGCAGCCGGATCTCTCCTCTGCGACAACATGCCAGATCTTGTTGACAGGGAGAGCGATGAGTTATGGAGGACTATTAAAGTGATATCGTTCATGAATTACATGATTTTGAAGGACGCGAGATGGATGGCTCGGCAAGAGACGAGAATTTTTTGGGAAAGGGAAGATTTTGTGACCGAGCTGTTAGAAACGGGATGGCATCTGCATCGCGACGTTTCAATGCGTCTGAGAAACATGGGGTAATTTGCCAGAAGTGATGGTTGGAGAAATTAATCTTCATTGATAGAGAGCCAAAGTCACTTTTCAATACAGGTCGTTATGACCATGTCGATCAAATTGGGATTTATGAATTGCAGCAAAAATGTAGAGAGTTCGCTTAATCTCATCGTTCAATCATTGTAGTCTTTACGACTTTCGTCTCAAGCTCGTCAATGAAACAAGCGCTTGCTGTAAATTCCTGCTCAATTTACCCATCTATTGAAGTGTAATGCCGATCAGCCAAGAACGTGCCATTTGTCTTTGATATTCAGACGGATTACCGTCCTTCATTCGGATTTCGGAGAAATCAAATCAAAGGGAAGCGATAGAAACTTTCTGTGTTCTTATAATATGACAATAATTTACAAGCGCTATCTTGTTTCATGAAGTCAATGCATGGTATTTCACCACTCTCGCGCCGTTTATTTCTTTCCCTTTGTCTTCTTCTTACTAGTTTGCCTCCTCTCACCATCAGGTCTTCCCAATACACCTCTCGTTCTTTGGTATTGCAAGACGATATTCTGCACACTACCCATATCATGCTTGGGCTTCCTCATGTATGTCAACCTGGCTCTTCTGGCTCTCTTGGCCTTTCTCTGTACCACCTCGATACCTTCCACGTTGGGGCTGTATATCTTATACCACATCTCGACACCCACTCTCGTCAACTCATTTCTCAATAAGATGCCCGTCTCCACACCACGTCGTCGAATGTTGATGCATACTCCGGCAAATGGATCGCCAGTTTTGAGTCGCACGAGAAGAATATCGCCTACTCTGGCCGCTTCTGGGTTTGTTTTAGAAAATAGATTGGTACGGGCACCAGTGGGATCGAGGACGGCAATTTGCTCTGCGTGAATGTTTTTTATTGGTTCCTTGAAGATCTGAGCTGGCGATGAGGGTGGAGGATAGGTTTTGATTTTTCGGACAGCTATTTAGGGTATCAGTATAAAAAGGAGCTCAATTGTAAGAATGGTGGAGTGCTAACCTTGAGTCTGAAGAGGAGTCTGCGACGCCGGTTTCGAGTGATGATATGTAGTCAGAGACCTAGAAATGGTCTTCTGTTGTCTCGATTGCCTCAAAAGCGATTTCCAACAGCTCAATGGCCGCAATGTGGGTGTCATGGTTGCCATGGTTGTTGTGGTCTAGATTTTGTATTGAAGTGAGGTTGAATGCGACCAATCTGAAAAATTCTGCCGCTCTTGGGGTCACCGCCTAAATATTTAAATCAGAACTCCAAACCCTCTTGATGATAACGATCGACCTCACCCCTCCAATTTGTAACCGTACACTCTTACAAAGCTACCTGAATTTACCCCCCAGGTCATTATGAGTGGTAAAGGTCTTTCCAAGGTCATTCGTGGCAGCGAATGCTTGTTCAAACATGCGCCACTGAAATTGACCAGACAACAACGATCTTTCACAAGTTCTCCAGTATGCCAAAAAGTTGGTATGTGATTGAATCGCTCAAATTGTATCCCATGTGTTGACTTCAGAGTAGGCCAAGTTCCATCTTTCTCTCCAACCTCCTCCGCAGAGCTTGACGCCTTACTTTTGAAATACCGAAAGAATCTTTTCCTACCCGCACATCTTTCAGAATACGACCAGGAGCTAGTATACGGCAAGAAACATGCAGAATCACTCAAGACTGATCCCGTCAAGGTCCAGATTGGTGAAGAAGAATTCGTCCTGGAGCACATAAACCAGTTGAGAGATCTACCGGGCACCACGAAAGGATTTAGACAAGTTCTTAATCTCATGATGGAAAAGAAGGATTGGGACAATCTACCACAATTTCTCGAGGGGCATCGCGATTGTAGACGACCTTTAGCCCATGCCTTATACTGTCAGACGATTCGACGGGCTGGTTTGGTAGGACGAATGGATGCTGTTATTGAGGCGGCAAGAAGAGTTCGCTACACAGGATTTCGCTTGAACGACGAAGAAGTTGTTTTGCAAATGATGTACTGGATCTACTACAAGGCACAGGTCAGTGGCTTTGAAGAGCACGAAACGAAACAGGCGCTTGCATGGGCAGAAGCCGTGGCAGATTTGCTTGAGGATCCAAGACATGCTGGAGATAAGGGCCCATTACTTGCAGAGGGCGCGAATGACGTACGGGCTCTTCCGGAGGTTATTGGTATATTATTACAGTTGGCTGCAGTTCGCGCCGTAAAACATACGGATGGGAAAGATTTGGATGGAAAGGTCGCAACTTATGCTACAAGGCTACTTGGAACGCCATACGACTTGAGCACTTCTTTACTCAATCTTAAGAGGCCAGAGGTACGGATGTATTCGAAATCCGGCGCCGTCGACTCAGATATAGCCAGTCAAACTAAAATGGATGGCGGAGATTATTCTGCAGAGGAAATACAGAAAAAGACTTTCCGGGCTAAGAACCATTGGCTTGTAGCTGCAGTACCAGTGCTACATGGGATGAAAACAGCATTACATGTTTTCGACCCATCAACGGTAGCTTCATCGAAGTTGAAGGAGAACATACCTCGATTAGAGAAACGTGTTAATAGGTACGCATCCGACTTGAAGGGAATTGCTGCGGGAAACCTGGGTTATAGAACATATACCAATTTATTTGGCTCAGCATGAGTCACATGTTTCTTTTAATGATCGGATGAAAACTTTTGTATTTGTATATACTTGTACAATAATTTAAGGAAGCACAATATACTTCTCTAAATGCTTTGGAATTGCTCCTAGAAGTTTCTTTTCCGACAACCACTTCTTGGAGAATAATCGATCCGCATATCTGTATGCGCCATCGCATAGTATTGTCACAACAGTGTGGCCCTTTCCGAGTTTTTCGGCTAGCTCCTTTGCAGCAGCGACATTCAAACAAGAGCTCGCTCCGAGGTACAACCCTTCCTCATCTAAACAACGGTAGACCATCTCGATACTCTTCTCGTCACTAATGTGCATTGAGCCGTCTAATAAATCAATGTCTGGTTTTAAGTTGTCTGTAACTCTGCCTTGACCGATTCCCTCTGTGATACTGGAGCCAGTTCTATCCACCAGCTTTCCACCTGACTGAATGTATGAATGCAAAACGCTTCCTGGAGGATCCGCAAGGTAACATTTGACCCTTCCGTCGGACTTTGTCTTCAAGTATCGAGTGATTCCGGCCAAAGTACCCGCGGTTCCCGTGGCACAGGTGAAGGCATCCACCTTGCCATTGGTCTGATTCCATATCTCTGGCCCAGTAGTCTCAATGTGGGCTCGTCTATTCGCGATATTATCGAATTGATTTGTCCAAACCGCGTTCTCTAATTTATCCGCATGGCGCTTTGCTTGATGATTGTAATTTTGTGGATTGTCGAAAGCTACTGCTGGTACTGGATACACTTCGGCACCCAATAATCTTAAAAGATCAATCTTTCCTTGAGATTGTGTATTGGGCATGTAGATGACGAGCTTGTAACCTTTAGACCTGCAAACGTGTGCGAGACCAATTCCTGTATTTCCAGCGGTTCCTTCGACAACAGTTCCTCCTAGCTTCAGCAATCCCCTCTCTTCGGCGTCTTTCACAACATATAGAGCTGCTCGGTCCTTGATTGATCCTCCAGGGTTCATAAACTCTGCTTTTCCCAATACTTCACAACCAGTTGAATCAGAGATATGATTTAGTCGAATGAGTGGAGTGTTTCCGATTGCTATGATCCTTTAGTCAATAATTCATAGTGCGCCGTGAACTACCAGGATTCAACGAACCTCCAGTTAAACCCTTTACCACGCCTTGAGCTTTAGAAACTCCAATTCCATATTGATTTGGAGCTTCCATCTGAGCAACATTTTCCGCAGCTCTTACAGCTGTGGTCGCAAAGCGACGAACACCAGATCGAAACATCTTTAAGATCACTTGGGAAAACAATTGAACCAAGCTTTTGCACTTAGCTTTTGCACTTGACTTTGATACTTCCCGAGATTCTTTATCCGATTCTAAATGCCTCGCACTGGCCCGATGTCGCCATCGATACTTTGTCCCGCAGGCGGGTCTTATCCTTATCGCTGACAACGGTTCATGACTAAGCAGGGGTAGGAAAGTAAACAAATCAATGTCAACAAACAGCAAACATCAAATGTGAAATGAAAAAGTTATTGATCATCTAACGCGTCCATGCAGCTTGCGACTATACTGTTCCGACTCTCACTATAGTCTCCCCTACAAATAAAACAGTTGCGTGTTCTACGTGCGACGAATATACGACCACCAAACGAAACAATCTACGTTAAAAACGCAATTTTTCGTTTCACACCCAAACCCAAGGAAACAAGATGCCAGGGAAAGTCTCCAGCAGGAGCTCGAGGACATCTGCCTCTGGATCCCGCAAATCATCTACGGTGGAACCAAATAGTCGCAGATCTGCTACATCCAAATCATCAACGCCATACGTTGAGATTCCAGAAGAGACACCTGACAATGAGTTGCGCACGCAAATTTCATCCATATTCCGAGATTCCCAAAGAAACACCGCATCGCATAGAAAATTAGTCGTCAACTTGCGAAAAATACAGGAGGCCTGCTGTTATGAGCCAACTAGCAAGAAGAATAAAACTGGCGCAGAAGACTTTGAGGAGGAGGAATTTACATACGAGTTCACAAGATGTGTTCTAAGAGTGATGCCGATCAAGAAGAGTGAGAGTGTTGGAGAAAAGGCGATTCGTTTTATTGGGCTGTTCTTGAGACATGCTAATGAGAAGGACAATGAAGTGACCCCAGCAAATGAAGAGGAGGATGGAGTCTTGGTTGAGACGCCGAGTACGAGACTCACAAGTCACCTCATGACGACTATTTTACCTCTTTTGACGGCCAAAGAGAAATTTGTGCGGTTCAGATCCACGCAGCTGATTTCACATATCATTAACTCTCTCGATTCGATTGATGACGATCTATTTCAGCAACTCCGACATGGGCTTCTGCGCAGAATTCACGATAAAGAAGCGATGGTGAGAGTGCAAGCTGTGCTGGGTCTTGGCAGATTGGCTGGAAACGAAGCAGAGGGGGAGGCAGATGAAAGTGATGATGAATCTTCTGGGGGTTTGCTTGTCAAACTATTAGCAGTTTTGCAAAATGATCCCAGTGCCGACGTTCGAAGGTCTCTTTTGATCAATCTACCAATTTTGCCCAATACGCTTCCATACTTGCTAGAAAGGGCTAGAGACCAGGACCCTGCAACTCGTCGGGCACTTTATTCTCGACTTTTACCAGCACTCGGAGATTTCCGACATTTGTCACTCTCGATGCGTGAAAAGCTATTACGATGGGGTCTTCGCGACCGAGATGAAAACGTTCGCAAAGCGGCAGGGAGACTTTTCCGAGAACGTTGGATTGAAGATTGCTTGGCTTCAGCCGCAGCAGAGTCTGCGGAAGGTGAGGCAACCGAAGAGAATAGAGCGCCGAATATGGACGCGCTATTAGAACTTCTTGAAAGAATTGATGTTGTCAATTCTGGGGTTGAAAATGGGGTTGCGCTAGAGGCGATGAAAGGTTTTTGGGAGGGCCGACCCGACTTTCGAGATGCCGTTGAATTCGATGATCGCTTCTGGGACACCTTATCGGCGGAAGCTGTATTCATGGCAAGAAGTTTCAACGATTTCTGTCGGAACGATGGAAATAGCAAGTATGAGGCTTTGATTGAAGAGAAAATGCCTGAAGTTACGAAGCTGGCATTTTACCTCCACAGGTACACTGCTGTTTTGGTAGAGGCTCTCAAGAGGATCGCAACGCAGGAGGAGATCACCGAGGATGTAGCGGAAGAGGAAGATACCGTAGAGCAAGAATTTATTGTCGAACAACTACTCCACATTGCTCGAACTCTGGACTACTCAGATGAAGTTGGACGACGGAAAATGTTCACGCTTCTGAGACAGCACTTGGCGATTCCGGAGCTGCCCGAGGAAGTTACTAAACTAACCGTTGAAGTCCTTAGAGGAATTTGTGCCGCAACTCCTGCTGGTGAAAGGGAATTCTGTAGTGTGGTCTTGGAAGCCGTTGCAGATGTTCATGATACGGTTACTGATGAACAAGATTTCGAGGATGCCGAAGAGAGCTTCCATTCTGCAAGATCTGACGTCAGTGATGATGAGAAGCCCACCAGAGGCAAGAAAAAGCCCCCAATGACGGAAGAAGAAGAGCAAGAGAAAGCGGTCCGTGAAATTATGGTCAATATGAAATGCTTGCATATTGTGCAATGTATGCTTGAAAATGTTGAAGGAAGTCTTAAGGATAATCCGGATCTTGTAGCCATGCTCAACAACCTTGTTGTACCAGCTGTGCGTAGTCACGAAGCACCTGTGCGAGAACGTGGTCTTCTCTGTATTGGCCTGTGTTCTCTTCTTGACAAATCTTTGGCCGAGGAGAATCTGGCTCTTTTCATACATTTCTTTAGCAAAGGCCACTCTGCTCTTCAAATCACTGCTTTGCAGATCTTGACCGACATGCTCAATCAACACGGTGCCCAACTTCTGGAATCGAACCCTACAATTTTGACCAAGGTTTATCTGAAGGCTTTGAAATCCGGTGCCAAAGATCCTGAAGTCCAGGCAGCAGCTACCGTTGCTGTTGCTAAGCTCCTATTGGGACGTGTAATTACGGATGCTTCGTCTGCTATCGATGATCTATTGAAGACATTGGTTGTCCTTTACTTTGATCCAAGCACAGCTCACAACCAAGGTGTTCGGCAAACACTTACCTATTTCCTACCAGTTTATTGTTATAGCAGAGCAGAAAATCAAGATAGGATGCGTGGAGTGGCACTAGATGCCATGCACAAACTTTTTGAAACGCAAGATGACGATGAGGATGCTGAGGCTGAAATGGTTGGTCTTGGGACGATTGGTGCCCATTTGGTAGATTGGACAGACCCTAGAAAATGCTATGTTCCTGGAAATCAACTCACGTTATCCGATGATGCAGCTAAGAAAGCAGTTAATGGAGATGTCCATCTTGATTTTGCTATGGATATTTTGGAAAGGTTAAACTCTTCTATGAGACGTAAGTTGAAATATTCCTAGTGTTGTAAGACCTAAACTGATACTTCAAGCAGTGGAAGAAAAGAAAACTCTCACACCTCTTCTTGCCAAACTTCACATCTCACCAGCTTCATCCGAGGATAAACTCCGTGCCACATATGAGGAGGTGACTGAGGCTGTCGAGAACAAAAAGTTGGGCCTCGATGCTACTAGTAGAAATGCTTTGTTTAAGATACACGTTACTCTTGGTAAGATTGTAAATTCTCTCGCCGAAAAAGATACGAGAGAAGAAAGTGTTTTGAGAGGAGGAAGTGTGGTGAGGGAAAGTGTAAGGGGCGAAAGCGTGCCGCTTGGTGATAGCAACAGAAGTAGGGCCGGAAGTGTGGAATCCAAAAAGAGCAGAGGTCCGGAAGTGATAATGGACAACACAATCAAAATGGAGAGCGTAGAGGAAGACGAAGAGGAAAACGCGGAGGAAGAAGATGTCGATGAAAGCGAAGGAACAGTCGTTGCTGAACAAGAAAAGACCATCGTTCGTCCCGACGAGGAGGAATCATTGTTAGAACAACAATTGCAGGACAGTCTAGTTGAAAGTCTTTTGGATGATGATGGAGATATTGAGATGGGTATGTAGGGCTGAGGTTTATATGAGTAATGGTTTGGGATATTGTCCTTGGAGTTCGGTTTGGTTTAGTGTGTTGGATTAACGAATCTATGAATTGATGCCCTCATCATTGGGATAAGGAACCTGGATTGAATTCAGTGTATTGCAGAATATCTACTAAGCGTGATGGTTTTTTTGTGTTGAGGAAACGCCAAAACCCACTCGTCACTTGGACTTTGCATTCAAGCATCCTAGAAAGTGCTGTTATAGAGTATAGCTTCTAAGGCAGATTGAGATATCGCTCGAGAAAACGCGAACTACATGATCTTGAAATGATCTTCCCTGCGTCATCTATGCACTCTCTTCTTTAAAGCGCTATTGAACAACGAGGCTTCCTCTCTTCGAGGCGATCCAAGAGAGAAGACAGCTCTTTTATACATCTGTCTGAATCATTCGTAGTGCCCTTTGGACAATGCTATGCTACACTATGCGAGGTCTACAAATATCATAATTTCGATTTCCCATCCGAATCCTTACTCCACAAGCCATCCCATTCTACCTTATGCTCTAAATGTTCTTTCCGGGTTGGCACACGCACTTTATGATGTTCACACGTGCAATAAATGATTGATCCATCTTGACTAGTCATGGTACCACGAAGCATCGCCATCGTTTTACCATATTGTACTACTTCGGTATAGATGCGAACAGTTGTACCTGGATTTGTTAATATTGATCATTCTCTGAAAGTAGTATTTCTAGCACATGATTAAATGGAAATCTACTAGGTACGTACCAATAGGAACAGCCCTTAAGTAACTCAAATTGAGTGTCCTCGTTACACCACCCAGAAAACTAATCCCCGTTAGCATTAGCATATATCTCAAACGTGCTCCCAGATTCCAGAAGGAAAGAAAACTCACTCCCAGGATCCAGGTTTAGCAACAGGTCCCAAAGCAAACGTAGTACACATGTCAAATATGACACCACCGGCTCCTCCATGCATCACATTGTTGATATTGCTATATTGTTCGTCTATTAGAAATTCGAAGGTTACGGTTCCTGAGGGGGTGGCATCAATGATTTTGATGTTTTCCATGAGGTGAGAGTCAAAGCCTTTGAAATTTTGGGCTTGGGCGATTAGTCGGTATCTGGAGGTTTGTTAGAGGGGGGTGGTAAAGGGGGAGGTAGGATTTAGGGGGGTAGGAATATGAAGTTAAGAACTGGTGTGAAAAATTGAGACAAGAATGGTCAATAGCTATAGAGAAAAATCAAATTGATACCGAAGGACTTCTTGAAGTTGCGGTGAAGTACTACTAACCACCCAGAAAGAGAGAGTTCTTCATTGCGAGAAGTCGGCAAAAAAATACCACCACTGCACAAGTCCCGTACGATGCTGTACCAAATACTTCCACTTGGAGAATATAGACAGATGAAGTTTTTACACAGATACATGAAGAAACTAGAAAAGAATACCTCTCAAAAATCGCCTCGACACCCTTCATAGCCTCCTCCCGTGACTTCGACATCTTGCACCAGATACCCCTCTTTCTTCTATCCTACTCGAATTACTCTTTTACAAATAAAAAAAAGAAACGTTAATTTGCATGAAATGAATGTGAATTGAGTAAAATCTACAACGTTGAAGCGTCACGACAATCTTGTAGCTATAGCTTGAATGGCAACCAACATCGAGCAGTAGACGCGACGTTCTTGCCGAGGTTCGGATGGCGGATCGGATCGTGAGGTTTGGTGGGGTAAAGTAATCTTGTGAAGGGGTGGGTTGTGAGATTATGTAAGCAGGGAATTGTGGGAAGTGCGGTTTGTTTTTGACGTTGAGGGAAGTTTTTTTTTTATGAGAGAAGGTTTTTTGTTATATCAAGCAACTTGATGAACCCGTCAGGTTAAGCTGGGCTCATACCATTACTAGAAGGAGCGGCTAAATCTAGGTTATCATTAGTAGTGGGCTAGTCTTCTAAATCACTCAAGAAGGCTAATCGGATTCTACTTTTTTCAATCGCGTGTCAGTATTTCAATACATAGCTACTTCTATAAAATAGCATTGAAAGAATGCGCTTCAGCTTACAAATGATTTAGCGAAGGCTCATTTTTTCCTTTTTTTTTCCAAGAAGCAGCTCTCTATTCAAAGTAAATACGAGTTATCCATCTTCCCCAAGAATGATATCAACAATTAGTCTTTCTTTCTGTATCAATGTAACTGTACAGACAGCAAGATTCAATTTTTGATGGCAGTTCATAGTAGTTGTCAAAGGAACATAAATTGGAGATTATCGTCACCGTTTTCATTGTCATTATCATTTATACATTCATCACTTTCGAAAATGGAAGGTGCTGAGATAGTTCCAGCCAGACTCTGTTAATAGATTGGTCTTCCTTCAACACTCTTGAAGGTTTTAGATTGTTACCATAGATTTTATATACAATGCTGGTCAGTTCAGCGGAAACTTCGACATAGTTTGGGTTCTCATACATTCCTATCTCATGTCTACCTCTTCATCAAGCATCCATTGCTTACCCATGACCTCCAGAGTTGTCATAGTCAAATGGTACGATATCAATATGTACGCCATTTATTCACTAAATCGCCTGACACATCACAGAGAGTCTCTTGACTATAAAAACATTGATCAAGGCAGAGAAAGTGATAATCAAGAACAAACGATAGACCTGCAGATGTGGCTGCTAGGTCTTCAAATTGCGTTTTCATGGCTACAAAATTACCTTACCTGTATTCCAAACCCCCACGTTCGGACACTTCTTCAAGCCCGGAACAAGTCAAACTGCTACTCGTTCTTAAGGGATTGTTGTCATTTGTGTTAGACGAGTATTCAAAAGGGATGACTACAAAATGTACCACCGATAACAGCGGAAACTGCGCTTTTCGGGGACTATAGCTCACCAGTATCGATAGCGAGAATTAGAAAACAGATACAGCCAATTTTTTGGATATACATTGAAAGAAATAAAAGGGACAAGAATCTCAGAACTTTCTCGCGCACGTTCAGCAAGAGGATTATCTGTTCGTCCTCTGTTGGCTTGTATCCCTGTGACTTCATATCTACAGGGAATTCAAATGGATCCAAGACAGATTTTTATACCAGTTAGAACCTCATCGCGGCCAATAAAGTGAATCACTTGCTAGCTGGAGATCCTTTGTTGCAAAACAGAGCACCTGATGACTAGTAACCTATTTGCAATAGTATAAATACATGCATGACAACTCCTACACAAGACACAATCACAAGCCCAAAGTAGATTGAAAATAAATAATGTGTCCTGAATCTGGACTCTTTCACAAATGGTCTGAACGAGAACCAAATAAAGCTAGAGGAAGAAGATACTCAGATTGGAAAGCTGGAGACATTTTCCTTGTATTGATACCATATTGGATATTTCGATGAGATCGTATTTGAGTTGACGATGAAAAGTTTGTCGATGATAATGATCACCGCAACCAAAAGCTTCGGCAATGAAGATTTTAAGGATCAGTTGAGGAAGTTGCAGTGCTAATATGTAACATAGTCAAGTACCTAGAGTCGTGGTTTCATGCAACGACTGAAGCTAGAGTTTTGCTTTCTAGCGTATATTAGAGTTTGCAAACCTCATGGAAGGCTTCGTTTAAATACGAAGATATTGCAGCGACCTCATTAGAAAATCTCGAATACGTATGTAAAGATTCACTATACCCCGTCAATTCATCAACATCTATGAATGTACCAATCAACTCTTCCCCAGAAAACCTATCGAACGGCGAAAAATGAGAACATTGAGGTATTTAAAGAACAAGTAAAATAGGGTTCTAAGATCCCAAACCACAAGTCAAAAAGGTCGCTACAAGCCAAGGGTGTACCCGCAGTTCCGTCCATATCTTTCGATTTGACTAGATATCTAGTTACTTAGTTCGTATTTGGTAATTCTACTGGCCGAGGATCTTGCCAATTTTTTGATCAGAAGATTTGGTCTAATCGATAATCAGAAAGCAATAGTGAGTAAATCTCCACGCAACAATAGCGACAATGACAATTTCAATCCGACGATACTCAGCTATCTTGACAATCAAGACAAACTCGCCGTGCGAAAATCGGGAAGAGAAATCTTGTACAGCACGACTAAGTGCAGTACACCTATAGAAAAGCTAACCTAAATAGTATTTAATCTCTCATCTTGGAAAATTGAAAGCTTATCCGTTTATTGCAAGGTGTTGAATGTCTTAAATACCCAGGTCGGTCGGAAGATTGTGAATTATCTTGGTGCATGCTTTGGGGGGGTGGGGTGAATATATTCACTTCTCATATCGAAGTAAGTAGACTGTCTTGTGCAGTGTAGTGTCTGTCATGTGTACTCGCCCATTATCAGAGTCCCATCAAAATGTAGTGAATTCTATGATCTGTAGATCAAAACTTTCCTAAATAAACACCATCGTCTACGCTTTATCTGGGATCATCATCTAACAACGATTATGGGATGGAATGAGATGAGAAGGGATTACCAAGGCAGGAAAGGGGGATTGTAAACTCTCGCTTGCATAGATGAGATTCTATGTAACAGCAATTTCCAATGCAAGGTAATCTCATTTTTTTTAGCACAATCTCAGATTGTAAATTGTGAGAGTCGAAGATTTCGACAAAGAATGCTAGGTGACAACAAAAACTCTATACCTGCCTGATTTCTTACGTTCAGGACGACTATGTAAAACTAACAATCATAACTCGCTCAGTAAAACGAGCCAACAACAACAACAACAACCACAAAAAATATCAAATTTCACAAGCAAAATGTTCTATAACATACTATTATTAGTATCATATTTCTTGACAATCGTAGTATCTTATAATCAGCACCCACCAAAGAATCCACACCAACATCCCACAACTTTTCTCGTGGTCATTCCTCGCACACTTGCAGCTTCTAAAGATTACTTTACTGTCCTATATAGGATGTTTATCATCATGATAATATATCACCTACAAACCTGACTCCGCTTACCAAAAAGGAAATAATGAAGATAACAGCTGCCAGTCCCACTGACAGGCGAAGATTTATCATCTGTAGAAACGAGTACAGAGGGTTAAAGCCCATAGTAGATCCTATTTCCCTAGTAGCAGGTTCGGTGATTCAGTTATGAATGAGTAAGTATACTACCTACTACCTATTATCTGCTACCCCCATACTCCCCATTCCACTCCAGATCCTAAAACACTTCCGAACAAACATTTGCAGCTTCCGATCTTCTGATCTACTTTTTCGGCACTCTATTGACTTGATCAAATCTATACTCACAGACTGCAGAAGCGTACAATGTTTAATCTGCCAGATAAAAGACATTCGTGGTTCCGGAATTCGAATTGAAAAACAATGCCATGATATGTAGCACTGAACTTATGTGCAGTAGCGAGCGCAAATAGATGTGATTGCAATTATTGTTAAGATTCTTGGTAATGTATAGTTACGCTCTGGGGTGGGCATGTCCAGATTAATCTGATTGACGCGTTGGTTAGGAGTGATACCGTAGGAACTTAACTTGACATCATGTGACTGACCTTATTTACCAACCCGCCTGTTCAGTTATTGTTCAGGGGGGTTTCCATGTTGTACTTAGTACTTGTTTGTTGAGTTATAGTTTATAAGTAATTCCTCGGATAAAACAATGTCTTTTTCTGAAATATATAAGTAATAGTTGTTGATCCAGTAATTTAATTCATTATTCTTAGTACTGTTATAGAAGAAGATAATAAACTAGAGATAAATAAACACATTCAATTATCTATCAGAAATCAGTACAATAGAAGTCATGTCTTCCACAGATTTTTCCCGCTTTGTAAATCTTCCCGCAGAAGTCCGACTCCAAGTCTGGAGATGGGCGGCAAGGAACGCCTTGAACCCTCCTCGTGCCATCATCGAATGGCGCGACGGACCGCGTAGAACCATCGCAGTTCTCAACACTAGCCTCGAAGCTCGTGAAGAGGCCGTATCTCAAACAGATTTGAGAAGCGTTCCTCGATACAATTTGCCACAAGACCCAGTACATTTGAATCGACTAGGCCTCAGTCTAGAAGATCGAGAAGAGTATGTTCGGCGCAGCGCCCGGGATTGGTACAGTCTGGAAACAGATGTCTTTGTCCTCGGGGCAGATGACGTCCTCAGGGAAAATGACCGTATCCTACGATCACAATGTTATGATATCACTTTCAGAAATGGAATCAAAACCATCGCAATTCCAGCTTTCGTGTTGGATTGTGATGGCAGAGTGATTATTCGTCAACTTAGATGGGAATCGAGATACATGAATTTTTACCAGGGCTTGAAAACCGTAGTACTTCTTCGAGATGATCCGGCGCAAGAACCAATTTCCCACAGAAATCTCATCCAGAACAGACATCTTTACCCCCGTACTAACGACATCAGAGTCAAGATCGAAGACAACCCACTTTCACAAGTGGAGTTGGACCTATTGGGATTCGATGTCAATTTCTTTAACAACCTCGTCATTTCGATGCGCAGGAACATGACGCCAGACTGGCAGTTACCTGAGATCAAATGGGGATGCTTGGTCCGATACTGAGCTTGAGGTCGCGTGACTCGGTCCGCCAACTCGCCTGTTCAGCTGCTGTACAGCTACTGTTCAAGGGGTCTGTACTGAAACATTTCTCTGTGGAAGTACGGTTAGTGAATTGTTCCTCAAATGCAAACAGCACCTCTTTCTGTAGTATATAAGAGATGGTTATCACTCTCATAATTCAGTTCATTATCCTTAGTTCCATCTCAGAACAAGACATAGACTAGAGATAAATAGACGCAACCAAAAATCTATCAGACATCACTTTATCAACCCACAAATCATGTCTTCTACAGATCTTTCTCGCTTCGCAGATCTTCCCCCGGAAATCAGACTCCGGATCTGGCGTAACATAATAGACGGTGATCTCAGTCCTCCTCGGGCGATCATCGGCGACGTGCTGTGGGAGCCTAGAACCATCGGAGCTCTCGGAGTCAGTCAAGAATCTTGTGTAGAAGCTCTTCGCCATCGTCCAGATTTGGAAACGTTCAAGTATACCCTGGCGAATGCCCCCTGGCATATTGGCACTGGGCGTCGCAAAAAGGTCTGGTTTAGCACTGAAGCTGATGTCTTTGTCATTGACCCTATCAGAAAGTTTACACTAGGTAGGTGGGAGATCCCCACTCTCAAATACGCGATCCGAACCATTGCTATTCCACAATCAAAATTCGGCATAAGCAACCACAGTCTGCACTGTGCACTACACCTTTCCCAGTTGAATGACGCACGCAACTTTAAGAGGTTAAGGACCTTGGTAATCCTTCGGGATGACCCGGCACAAGAAGCAACACCTCATTTAGTCATTCTAGACCCCGCCATCCGCTCAACTTCTGATGACATCAGAGTCTCGATCGACCCAACTCCACTCTCACAGGTGGAAATGGATGCATTTGGATATACTGTCCCTTGGTATAATAGTTTCATCTCTATTATTCGACAAAAGAAAGGTCCGAATTGGGAGTTGCCTGAGATCAAATGGGGATGCTTGGTTCGACACTGAGCTTGGGACCACGAGGACGAGAACACCAACAAACACACACACACCGAAATTGCATAAGTATCAATCATTTGGTATTTCGGAGTTGGTCGAGTGATTTTCATATTCAAAACACCCAAGAATAAAATCAAAAAAAGGTAAAAATTAAAACCCCTACAAAAAATGCTTGATATCCACAATTGGCGTTATTTTCACAAAAGTGAAGTGTGAGTATGACGGCAGGCAGGACCTAGCCTTTGATCAATAAATAAAAATTGTAAGTAACCAAAACCGAATTACAAACTGTATCAAATCCCCAAATGCGATGAGATTAAATGTGTGAATGTTGTGACTAAAAATATCCGTAAATGAAGATGTAGCAAGATTTTCAGGAGAAAATAATTGAACTAAGTCATTGATAAAGTCAAAAATATCTGATGCACGGACATGTCCCGAGACAAGCTTCTTAATTAAGCTTCATAATAGGGCGGGGAAAGTAGTGAAACATAAATTTTACACAATCCATAATTGATGATCCGGCTTGTTGATCTGCTTTGTGGATAAATTCGATTTCTCTTCATCAGGAAACTTCGCCGATATAACGACCGTTGTAACTTGTTTCGCCTTACATCGCTGATAAGAAGCATTTGAACCCCCGAATGTTTCCTTGTAAAGCACCTGATTTCGCTTTGCAATGATCACCATCAGTTCAATGAGAGATGTACGTATGGGCGTCTCATGTACGCCATGGTGTCTTGGGTTTCTTTGAATTGGAATTATTCAACAAAGCATGAAGCGTAAAGCAAGTGAATCATGGAAAGTGATCACTGTAACCTCAAATTTGTAGTTTGTTAGACATAACGATCTGGATTTGACTCATATGAGTGAGGGTTTTGGTGAATGTGCCTTGAGAATCACGATAAATTGGTGATGAAAGGCTGTCGGTGAGATATCAAAAGTACCAAGGATTGTGTGATAATTATGACTAAAACAGGCAAATGTACTTCCTGTGCCTCCCGCCAGCACTGAGTGGCAAGGTTTAGCATATTTTCCCTGTGCTTGTTTGCTGGCTTCATGATGAGATTACCAGGTATGATATATCTTGGAGCCAAAATAGATGTGAGAACAAAGAAAGCAACTTCGGTACATCGGATAATTATCAGGAAGCCTTGTTTGAACTCTCGTTTTGTGACCAAAGAGATGTGTGACTTCTACCTAGTAGGAACAAAGGAAATTGATCGAAAATTTAGAAGCGCTTTCGTGATCAACTCCCAATTGATCTGAATATCTGAACCCCGGACTCCATATTATATGAAATAAAGATGTGACTTCACAAGTGGGGGAGAGAACGTTAACAAGGCTGGCTCCTTTCTTGTTGTTGAGATATCGTCCCTTGCAGCAAACAAACAAACAAACAAACAAATCACAGCCACATTGACAAGTCCTACGGATATCCCGAATTAGCAACAGGAGCTTGATTCCGGTATCTGTCAGGGATCAAATGAAGATTTGGGGTCGGAATACAATGCACTTCATCGCTTCCACAAGTTCCATTGAACCCAAAAGGTGGATCTCAAGGAATCAAAGGAAGTTCAGACGGGTTGATCGGTTGGATATGAAACATTCACAGACCCTGTCAAGAGTTAGCAAACAATGTAATTAACAGGATGGAATTCCCATTCACATTTAGCCGTCGTCTTGTGAGTCTTGTGCGAAGGCTCATAGGTGATTGTTAGAGAACAAGCTACCATCCAACGGTTGGAGATGGGTAGATCTTGGTTACATTCGTACCTGTACCTGTACCTGACCTGTACTTGTACCTGTGATGCCAAGGATGTAATGATAGTGAATTCCCCTATTTCTGAGGAGTATGTAATCAAGTGAATATAAGTAAATCATACCTAGGTGGTGGTGGGTTAATAAAACCGATTTTCCTTGTCTGCTGAAGGGTTTCTTTCAAAATCATTTATCAAACTTTCTCTCACACACACACGCACACGCACACCTCTTTTATGTGCCCAGAGTGAGGTTGATTCTCCACCAAATCAATACCAAGGGAGAAGAAGAGCGAGATTGTGTTTGAAGTTATTAATAAGAGGTTCCCTTCCCCACATACTCCGTGCTACTCGTGCTACTACTCTATTCCGTAGATACTAGATTCTGGGTATCAGGTACATCCATACTGGGTAACCGGGAGACAGGTAATACCGTGGTAATCCAGAGGCAATCCATAGACAATCCAGAAGCAATCCAGAGGCAATCCAGAGGTAATTCGCCCCAAACTTCAGTGCACCAACAACCAACGAAATCCCATCAAATCAATCCTCCAGGCTTGGTCGCCCTTTGATTCGCTTCCTCAGGCTTAGCTACATCCCCAAAAGGAATCCACCAATCCACAAGGAATCCCGGTCGATTTGCAACTCCTCCACCAAAAAAGATTAATACCCTCGAAATACCGAGATCGTTCCTTTCCTTTTAATAATCACCTCTTTCCGTAGGGGTGATTTGTTGCTTCAGTTATCAAACTGGCAAAATTCATCATGAAGTGGTTCCGAAGAAAGAAGAAGCCAGGAAAGGAGCTGTCAGATAAACCAACTCTCGTACGCAGTTATACAAATCGAGCAGATCGAAGGCATCATGCAGCATATGCAACCCCGCGTGGATCTATCATAAACAAGCTTCCCGATAAAGTTCTCGAACGCATCTTCACACTTGTATGCCCTCATACGCAAGACGAAACTTATGAGACATGCGAGCAATCTTCTCTGGATGACTGCTGTCCATTATGCGATACAAGAGATTTGGCTCACTGTGCGCGAGTCTCAAGAAAATGGAGGAATGTAGCTATTGGGGTTTTGTTCGTAGCCCAACCATTGGTGCAAAGTGTTCAATTAAGCTGACTCAATTATTGCGCAGGTATCATAGTGTTCGGATTGATGCAGTTCATTTCTGCGAACTCGAAGAAATATTATCAGAGAAGAGGAAACACAAAGGTCGATTCAATCGCAATGCAGAACCAGAAGAAACCCCCAACGTTAGGTTGCAACTACTTTGTAGAACGATTCGCGATAATAGGATGTTGGGAGAATTGGTGGAATTTCTCAAAACACCATATATGACTAGAGGAGCTTGTAAAGCCGATCTTGCACGCAGCGTGGCAGTTTGTCCTAATATGCGATACCTCGATCTTCCCGAGGGGATATTTTCAGATGATCCTTCCTGTCACGCACTCAAACTCGAAATTCAAGCGCGATGTCCAGATCTGCGAAAGATGACATACATGACCGGCTCGGAGAGAAGTCTTGAACAATTGGCAGGCGGCAAGATCTGGAGAAATCTGGAGGTATTGGAATTTACAAGACTCAATATGGACCCCACGATCATTCGACGTGCCTTGGGCTCATTGACTGGGCTTCGAGCTTTGAAAGTGACAGATACAAAGACATTCAACGATGAAGTATTCCAGCACAGCGATTATCTACCGCCGTTTCCAGCTTTTACCGAATTGGTTTTCGAAAATACACCCAACGTTACAGCGATCGGCTTGGAGGCGTATTTATTCCGTTCAGACACGCAAGAGAAACTCACAAGTCTTTCATTGACAGAAACGGGTATCCATCCTTCTACTTTGCACAAAATCACAGACAATGCTCCCAGATTGACCTTTTTGTCGATTGTTGAGTCAGTACATGCGTCCTTTCCAGCTCTTCAAAACATTCCACCACTTTCCTCGACGTCACTACAAACACTGCATTACGAAATTACCTCCGGATCATCTGCAAATACATTCAAGAGCGTTGTACAAAGTCATTACTCATACCTCACCACCTCCTTGATCGCCAATAGACTTCCCGCGCTTCGAGCTCTTTACGTTCGCGATTCCGAGTTCCCCGAATCTTTGATCGGTCTCGCACCTCCTGCTCCCGCATATGCGTCCGATCCAGATAATTTTGTACCACCTAATCCTTTCGATCGTTCGTCGAATGCGCCTTCTGCCATGCCCAACAATCGATTCAGTTCCAACAATCCTTTTGCAGCTCAAGCAAGCCTGTCTCCGGCGATGCCTACTGGAATGGGACTTAAACAAGAATTAGAGGTTTACAGTAAAGGTCTTGATGAGATGGAATGGAATTTCGCCAAAGTCCAACCGCCAACTGCACCCGGCAGGAGAGGTTCGGCAACAACAGCAAGACCGATTAGCAGTTACGGACTAGGTGACAGTATGGGTAAAGCATGGGCTCCGGGTCATGGCGCGAGGAGAAGTGTTATTGTCGGAAATGGATTTGGTGGCTTCCTCGCTGTGCCCGCAGATGATCCTCCCAGACCCAGCAGCTCAGCTGGTGAAAAGAAAAGACATTCCAGGAAAAACAGCAGCCAAGATTTATGGCGATGATTGTACAGAAATATTATTGGGCCCGATCTCACTTTGGATGTTTTGCATTTTGGGTCATTCTATCGACTTTATATTGATTTTCTTAATATATGGAAAAGTCTGGTCCGGTCGCACACTTTTCTTTGGGGGTATTTTTTTCTTCTACGATCATGTGAGACAAATAATCTCACAGAGAGACATATTTAACGCAATGAGGATTTATGGAGTATACCATGGATATTTACGTTGGATCTATTATACAGTCTTTTTTCCTTACCTTGCGTGTGTGGAGCGTTTTATGTTTAATACCCTGAAGGCTCTTATGGTTATGAACGGAGAATGGGGATAGGATATCAGGAGATGATTGATAGTCTATTTTTTTGGGATGGTTAGCGGGTTGAAAGGTTGAGTGTTTGATGGCAGAGTAGATAGCGGAATAAAATGATTTTTAGATACAGCCTGTGGGCAGTGATGACATGATATTGATTTGTTGTGAAATTACTGAACACGCTCTTTTAGAGAGTTTTGGGCTGGAGAGAGTTGACGGAGAAGCTATTGGGGCAATGCTGCAGGAGGTAGTTCTTGGGGAACATACGGCGTGCTGTCGTAGAGTGCCGTCGTAGGACCCTGTCGAGAAGAGGCGTCGGAGAGGATTTCTCAAACAAAAAACAAGTAAGTCACGAAAAATAATTCTCACGTCCAAGAAAGCCCTTACTCGCGTAAAAGGATGCACAGCAAAATTACCAAGATACCACGCCATCTCATTCTGGAAATTCGTGGTGTGAGTTCTCGATCGAGGGGGTCTGGGTGAAACGGGATGGTGATGATTTATTTTTGGCTCATTATTGGATGGGTGGATTGGTAGGTGGACGGATGGATAGGTAGAAGTATATTGAGCACTGGGTATATTTTCTCTGTCTGCTTCCTGTGCATAGCATGTGCGTTTACTAGGCGATATCGAGTAAGTGCACAAGGTGCCAAGTGGCCTGTTGCGTATGAAATTTCTGCTGCGTTGATAGTTATTGCGATGTAAGATTTGATGGATTCGCAATTTTTCCATGGTGGGAGTTTGAGGATTCGATATTCGGATTCGAATGAGAATATTTCAGTCGGATTGTATCTGTGAAGGAATCGGAATGGATGATGGGAGTTTAATTGGGAAGTTTTTGAATTTTGTTGTGCGTATTAGGTATGACGCTATGCTTTCAACTGAGTGGAGTCGATTTTGATAATGGTGTGTGTGTCTGTGTGTCTTTTACCAGTGTATCGCGTTCATGTGCTGTTTCGGAGTCGGAAAAGATCACGGATGATGAATGCTTTATTTTGGGGACTGGAGAATGTTATGCGGTTTATGAGCTCTCACATAGATTTGAATGATTAACTTATCGAGCGTGCGAGTGCGAAATTGTAGCTTTCGTGACGACCATTCCCGCGTGTGTTATCTTTAATCTGCACCTGAGTTGATATTTTGTTTCTCCGTACTCTGTATCCTCATCGTTTTTGTCAGCAGGGTTAGCATTGACATTATCATCATCATTTCTTTCCACCACATAACTCTGCGAACCTTGTGATCGAGATTTAGTATCAAATTCTCGATCGCATGAGCTGGAACCTAGCTCAAAGTCTCCTTGGCCATTTTCATGCTTGACGCCAATGTTCGAACATTTTCCAATACGTGTATATAGTTCCGCTGTCTAAATTTGTATATGTCTTCACTGCAATTGTACTGCGGCTCGCATGCATAGTAACGGTCTTCTCCAAACGTCAGATTCTTCTTCTTGGAGATTTATACTATTCAGTGGGAGAAAATTAGTAGGACTCTTGATGAAGATGAAGTCAATTCTCTTCAGCGAAAAACAGATCTGGATCACGCGGGGAAGTTTAGTTGAGATTGGGTTTCGGGAGAATGAGATGATGATGCCTAGATAATGTTTCAGGAAGTTCTGAGAATATTTTTTGGGGAAATAATAAATGGCACAAAGTACGTTCATCCGAAGTTTATCAATAATCTAGTAATAAACAATGGAAATATATCACAAGTCATCGTAAATTCAATGTTTGCATCTCCTCCCATTTACTGTCTTATTCACCTCGAAATGTTATTTCCCATGTGAATATGTTAAATGCTCAGGCGCTTACGACGATTATCAGATTTCCAATCCAGATAGTGGTTGACCGTAGCTACATTTTGTGAAATTTATGCTGTCCATGCTCTTCGTGCGAAATATAAATACGAAGAATTTCATTCGTGATGCGAGCTTTTCTTCAGTCATCGCTGTACATGTGTAACATTACTGCTTTGAATCTATAGTTTTATTCCTAATGAAGAGAGTCGAAGTGCAATTCGTATACGGCTTCCCTCTTGGAGACCATAGCCCATAGACAAAAAAGGCTTCCCTTGAATGAGCAGATTATCTAAAAGATGTATATTTCTAAAATAATAGAGGACAAATAGAAGAAATGTAGTAGATTTCTATTTCATCTAGAAGCCTGGTTATAGCCAAGGCAACCCTATTCATATATATCAACCAAGTCCGGAAGTTCCGGATAAAGGCTTATCATACTAGTCTTTTCTTCAAAAATTCCCCTATCAACGTCTCAATATCATATAGATAACTCATATCAAACATTTACATAATTACTGTAGTAGTAATATAATTTATCTCGGTAAGATGATCGCTAATGGGATTCTCAGTAACATTATTGCAAAAAAATTCTTCAGGTGACCGCGGGTACGAGTCCTGGATTTGGAAAATTATATTATGCATTTTTTTCTCATTAAACTGATAACAATGTCTATATAAAGAGTAATATGCATTTTTAATTTTGTACCCATTCATCCCCCTACGATTTTTTTCGAAATCGTCAATTACATACGGGAAACCTGAAAATCTTCGCAATAAATAACATAAGAAGTTCAAAAGAAAAAACCCCATATACTACAAACTCCCATAGTGACTCCACCGCTCCCTTCTTTCCCAAATCTCAAGTCTCTCATTGGAGTTTTTCGAGCTCTGATGGTCATGCTACCCCAGATCGCTCGTCTAATGTAGTTAGATTATTTACCCCTGTCGGATTTTTTGCCGAGCCCCTTTTAGCGCTATACTTCTTGGCGTCATCGATTTGATATATAGGTACCTAGTAGGTATTCTGTGGAATGATTTGAATAATCGATGATTCATGAGTTATTTGATTTGGAGTTTGAAAATTGTTGTATGTAACTTGTTTACCCGTGCAAGCCCTTGATATTCCTCAATTGTCCTCAATTATTCTTTATTTTTCTAGGGCGTGAATGTTTGTTGGAAAATAGTGGTGATCATTTGTAATTTTTGATGAGATGGCATTATGGACATCAGGTTAGTAGGTTGGAAATAAACTTTTACGGCCTAGGAGTGGTCCTTCTCGATTGTGTATTTCCGCTTGTCTTACTATATCAAGTATAGATTGTCCTAATAGAAGTTACTTTCCTCTCGAATTTTTGACACCCCACTCAAGAACCAGTCATTCCTTGGTGTTCTTTCCATTTTGTTCGGTTTGTTCATTTTGTTCGTTTTGTTCATTTTGAACAAAATGCAATTTCTGTCCTACCTCGAAGGAAACTTTTTGCAACTCAGTGAACGGAAGATGAATGTTCAGTTCGTGATCTAGGAGAAAATTGTAAGTTCTTTTTGAGCCGTGGTAAATTCATAGGCATTTTTTGTACAGACTTGATTGAGAAATACAACTTAACAAATTCATGCCTTTCATGCTTCTCTTCTATTGTGAACTTGTAGTTAAAAGTTCGATTGTGTATCAGGGGTTTAGAGCCCGGTATTGCGTGAATGTTACTCATCAAATATTTCATATATACAGTATAGTTACAATAAAGTTATTCCAGTACTTTCTCGTAGACATTGTTTGTTCATGATTGATATGTGCCTGCCTGTTACGTGTTCACATGTGTGCCTGCTTGTATTTTACCTCGACATGTACTTTCTCATTCCGTAAATCGTTATGCCATATATCAACTCCATCCGAGATGAAGGTTTCTGTGCCATTTATTTTCAAAACAGTAAAGTGTATTTTATGATTCTGTGCGTCTAATTGTGCATTCTAATCGCATATTTGAAAAATTTAGATGCAGTTATCTAATAAGAGGTAGAAGAAAATGGAGGCAACGAAGTCACGAGCCAGAGCATTGAGAAACGGGTTATATATCTGAATAAAACATCTCCTTCAACAAACAAGAGATAAGGTGGTGGAGTGCTGGTTCAATTGGCTAGCCTGGGCTCTCTTCAAACTCGGAGTTGTTAGACTCTTCTTTTTTTGATAATTTTTTAGCTACCAAGATAGAAAAGCTATATACCTAAGTAGTGTACCTCCTTCAACAAAAAAGAGATATGGTGGTGGAGTGCTGGTCCAATTGGCTAGCCTGGGCTCTCTTCAACTCGGAGTTGTAATGACTCTTCTTTTTTTGGTCTTTTTGAAGGTGCCAAGGAGATCTGCCACTATGTGAGTAGTCTGGTGGATTCATATGTCTTGACAGGCTTTGAAACTGGTTATTTGCAAGCTTTTGGTACTTCATGAGGGAGAGAAATTGAAGGTAATCGTGAAATGGTTAATTCGAAAGTGTTGGCCGTTAAAAGAATGATCGGGAAGATTTGGAGCAACTTAAGTTTCTTCTCTGAATAGCTTTTATATTGATTGATTTTTTACAGAGAGAAGGTACCATCCGGTTCAATCAGCAAGCTGTAATATTCCTTCTCTATTTGTCACCTCCATGTATTCCAAAGTATCTCAATTAGGCACAACATCGCTGTTCATGGTTTTGTTCTCATTGTGTATCCCAATGATAGTTACATATTCATTCTGTTCAAGTCTCGGTAACGAGTTGATGCAAATACATTCATCATTTAACTATTTTAAATTCTACCTGTTCTCTCTTTTCAATATACCTTAACGAATGATATGCTCCATCATTCCAAAGTCCACTCCAGTGATCATTCAGTCTCGTGATGAGGAAGCATTGCCCCTAAGACAATAGCACTAGCACTAGACTTTCAGCCCCCCAGCAGCAGCCGATTCCCTCCGATCAAGTATATATATCTCGATACAACAAACACACACTGTCGGATTAGTGTAGTGGTAACATAACTCGGGTTCATGGAAGGGGTAAAAATACATCCATGGTACGGACGAACGTCTGTATTCAATATATTTCTACTCCTTCCAATCGAGTAGCCCCAGGTTCGAATCCTGGATCCGGTACTTTTTTTACATTTCCTATCTATCTATTTATCTGAAGAAGAGTGGCTTTTTTTTGAGGTAGCTTTTGAGGGGATTGGGGAAGATTGGGGGGTGGATGGAGAATTTCAGTTAGTGTGGTGAAGGGATGGAGTTTTCCCGCGGGGGTGATGTATAAGCAAATTGAATGCTAAGCGAATTTAAGAAGCTTGAGTTTTCTTGGCATTAAAATT